CCTGCCTTCGCCCATCCACTCTTTCCTGGCTCTTCCCACAATCATTCCGTCCCACAACACCAGCGCCATCGCCACCAGCAGCAGCAGCAGCAGCAGCGGCCGCATTTGCCCCACCACATGCACCACCATCCTGCGTCCGGGGGGTTTGCTGGTTCAAACTCGGGGCAGGAAATGGAGTGGGAGGCCTGGGAGCACGCACATCCCGCCACTAGATCATGGTGGCACGAGGGTTTCCCCCCTCCCCGCATGCAGCAGGAGCCATTTCCCCCTCCCCGCATGCAGCGTCAGGAGATTTTCCCCTCCTCGGGCCTGTATGAGGAGACCTTTCTGCCTTCCGGCCTGTATCAGGAGAGTTTCCCTCCTTCCCACCTGGAGCAGCAGGAGGACGGGCGAAGGGTAAGAATGTGGGAGGGCAGGCCCATGGGCAGAGGGATGCATGAAGAAGGTGACTATAACGAATGGATGAGGGGAATGAGAGAGCGGGAGTTTGGCCCTGCTTCTTCCCCTCGTCCTCCCCGCCCCCCCTCCCCCTCCTCCTCCTCCTTTTGCTGCCTCAGACCCCTCCTTCCCCCAACCCCGCCACCACCGCTCCATGCGTCCCTCTCCTCTCCCTTCGCCTTCTCAAATCCCCTATCCAAGATCCTCCCGCATGCACCCGCTGCATCAGCCTCGCCAGAGCAATCACCCTCCACCACCACCACCGCCTCGCATCCCCCAAGCACACCCCGTGGGCCCCCGCCAAGTACCTCCCCCACACCCTGTGCCACCGCACCTCCAAGCACACCCCTTGGGCCCCCAGCAGGGATCAGAAAATCCCTTGTCACGTCACCTGGGCAGTTACGGGCAATCTCGTATACCTCCTGATGGTGGGGTTGGTGGTGGTGGGGGAAGCTATGGTGTAGGGCGAGGGGGAGAGAGTGCGCGTGGGGAGCGGAGGTGGGGAGGAGGAGGTGAGGGGGGAGGGTGGGGATGGGGATCAGAGGGAGCGGCAGGAATGAGTGGTGCTTCTGCTGGTGCTGCTGGTAATGGTGCTGCTTCTGCCTCTGCTGCTGTCGGTGGCAGTGGCAGCGACGGTGGTGCTGCTGCTGCTGCTGGTGGCAGCGGCGTGGGTGCGGCGAACTGGCAGCGGGAGGAAAATTCATCAAGCCTACGCACTGCTGGTTCTGCTGCGCCCGCTGCTGATCCCACCGCCCCGCCTCCCCTCTCTGCTACGACTGCCGCACCTTGGTTATCCCGCATGCGCTCCTCCCGGCACCCAGAGGCGTTCACAGGCGGCCCTCCCTTTGCCTCCTCTGGTTTCCCCGGTGACTCAAGAGTTCCTCTCGCTTCTACTTCTGCCGTGGGGAGTAATGGTGGCGGCGCTGGTGCTGCTGGTGTGTCTGCTGGTGGTGCTGCTGCTGCTGCTACTGGTGGTCGTGCAGGTCCAAGGTGGATGGCACAAGGCCAAGTCGTGGCATCATCACCATCACCATCGCCATCATCGTCGTTGTTTGAGCGCCAGGGAAACGAGGTTAGTGTGGGATTGCTAGTGGTGTTGTTGGTGCCCGTGTAGGTGCGGGGTGGGTCACATGGAGCCAAGGCGTGGCATCATCATCATCACTATCTCCATTATTGTCGCTATTTGAGCGTGAGGGCAACGAAGTGAGTGAAAGTGCTGAGTTGTTAGAGCGTGAGGACAACGAGGTGAGTGAGAGTGCTGAGTGACATGCCAAGGGCGTGTTACTGGTGACATGTGACAGAGATGTGACAACAATGTTCGGCTCCACGTCAATGACGAACCGAAAAGCAAGGTTATAAAATAGTACACATTTGGTACGTTTCTTGAGAGCTGCGGTTTTTCAAGGATGCCCTTGCCAGGCAAGTCTGCTATTCGTCCACCCACTTTGCATCGTAGTACCAGGTACCTGAAATCCGAAAACCCGTGTGATCTGTTTTAGATCACGCCTTCAATGAAATTTGTACTCCATAACACGTTTTCAACAAGAGTGCTCGCGCGCCATTGTTACGACTGCTTTCAAAGGCATCAACTGTTAGTCAAACGATTCACGCAATGCGTTGCATTTCGAGTGCCATTCGATTCGTGTCACACGATTTTCATGAGTGTCGAGTGTTTAAACATCATGTTGACAGCATCATATTGAACTCTCGAGGTGCCATTCTCGCTTATGGTCAAACGAGCAGCGGCAAAACCTTTACCATGAAAGAAAACGTCATACCGCTCTCCATCAAACAGGTGTTAGATCACATCGAGAAAGTGGTAACAAATCAACATAACAGCTTCACGAAGTCCTGAGCTAAAATGTTAAACTGGTTACATGAAGTATGCAGTTTAGCCCAGGATTGCGTGAGGCTTTTATGTTGATTTGTTACCTTTCTCGATGTGGCCGAACACCTGTTTGATGAAGAGGGGGATGACGCCTTCCTTTATGGTAAAAGTCTTGCCGCTGCTCGTTTGACCATAAGCGAGAATGACACCTAGTGAGTCCAAGATGATGTTGTCAACATGATGTTTAAACACTCGAAACTCATGAAAATCGTGTGACACGAATCGAATGGCTCTCGAAATGCAATCTGTTGCGTGAATCGTTTGACTAACCGTTGATGCCTTGGAGGGCAGCTGTAACAATGGCGCGCGTGCTCTTGTTGAAAACTGTTCTGAAGTACGACTTTCATTAAAGGCATGACCTGAAACAGCTCACACGATTTTCCGGATGTCAGGTACCTGGTACTACGATGCAAAGACGTGTGGATGAATAGCAGACTTGCTTGACAAGGGCATACTTGAAAAACTGCAACTCGCGAGAAACTTATTGAATGTGTTTTTTCTTTAATAACCTTGCTTTTCGGTTCGCCATTACGTGGAGCCGAGGATGTCAAGGGCGTGATACTGCTGTGCCGAGCATGCAATACCACATCCCCATTCCTCATGTGAGAGAGGATGTCAAGGGCGTGTTACTAGTGTGATGGTCATGTGAAGTCGCCTCTGAGAAGTCGCAAATCTGAACTGAGGAATGGGGCGTGTTACTGGTTTGCCGGTCATGAAATACTCACATCCCTATCTCTCAACTTTCTCTTTCTTTCATCATCCTCTTTTCTCCTCGGTGCCCTCTCCTGTTCCCACTGCTTCCCCCCCTCTCCCTCCCCCTTTGCCAGTACCGCTGTCTGCTCTGCCCGTCCTCTTCCTCTGCCTCCACCACCACCATGCACCTCTCCCTCCTCCCACACCGCCCGCTCTTCCTGGACATTATTCGTCTGAGGGATCACATGCTGCTCAGCCATGGGGTCGACCCGCTCCCCGCCCACATGCCATTAGCCCTGCTTTGACTCGCTCTGACCTGCTCTGACTTTCTCTGACCTGCCTGCCCGTCTGCACCGCACAGCACCGCAGTCCAATCCTCTCTCACCACACCGCTCCCTCTTCTCCTACATCCCTCGCTTACAACACCGCATTCTGCTTAGCCATGACATCAACCCATTCCCTAAACACGCCCCTCTGGCCCTGCTCTGTCCTGCCTGCCTGCCCGCCCTTCTCCACCGCGCTGCACCGCTCTGGCTTCACTCTGACCGGAATCTCCTGAATGGTGTCCGACCGGAATCTCCTGCTACATTGCTGATTATGGCCCCATCTCATGGCTGCTGAAAGGTGTCTGCTTTTCCTCGTATACACCACAGTCCACCACGCTGCACCGCTCTGGCTTCACTCTGATCGGGATTCGGATGATGGTGGTCCCTATGCCTGCCGGATTGCTGAGCATGGCATGGTCTCTCGTCCCATGCCCGCCAATGGCCGTTCAGCGTACCTCATATACGCCGCTCTCCACCGCGCAACACCTTCCCAGTTTCGCTCAACACTTGGGGTGTAAGGAAAGGGCTTGTAGTGAGTGAGTGACTTCTTTTCGTTTCCGAGCAATAATTGACCTCTGCTCTGCGCCATACTTCGTGGACTGTGTTGTGTACGGTACCTTTCAGCTTCTATGCATGTCATACTACACTACACCTCTCCTGGTGATGTCTTTCCAAGTTTCTTGTACTAAATTGACTCTTCTACACCTCAATCTGTTCATAGTGTATGAGTATCTAACTATATCATTGTGTACTGCACTTGACAGCTGCTTATCATTCTGTGCATTACCATGAAGGGACAGGTGTGAAACATAGACAATGAGTACGCAGTGGAGTGGAATGGAGTGAAGGCAACGACTACAGCGCGTTGATTGAGGTGCATTGCTGCAGCTACATGAGCACTCATCTCATGTCTCTCTCCCTGCTGCTTCTTTGCACAAGTTGCTAGAGGGTCGTGTCATGTGGATCAACCCTAAAGCTGCAAACCCGCGAGCAACGACTTTGCCAAGCAGACGGGCTCCATTCCATTCCAAGCCAGCCAATCAGTACCAAGTCCAGGTAGTGGAAGGATAGTACAGTACAAAAACCCCATAGCAACTTGGGGGACAGCAAGAGAGCTTGCTCCTAGTGCTTCGTAACGCGGGCACAGGGTACATTTGACCTCATAGCGACATTCATAGCAACACACAAGCATAAATTACTGCCTAAGTTACAGTGTTACCTTGCCGTTACTGTTCCACCCCAGAGTATATCAACAGCACCACTCCACAGGAAGCACCTTGAGCCCTCTGACAACCCTGGGTGCCACTGTAAAGGGTACAGCCCCCTCCTCCTCCAACGCTGCTGCTCTCTCCTTCAACCGCTCTATGTTAGAGCGTTGCCGTGCCCTTACTGTTCCTCCTCAGCCTATCAACAACACCACCACTCCACAGGAAACACCTTGAGCCCTCTGACAACCCTGGGTGCCACTGTAAAGGGTACAGCCCCTCCCTCCTCCACCGCTGCTGCTGCCTCCTTCAACCGCCCTTCTAGCTCTGCCTGTCTGTCCCCACCTCCCCCCAGCACCACCCCTCACTGCACTGCCAGCATCATATTGCTTTGTCTGAACTGCTCCCCCCAAGCCTCGTATATCAACAGCACCACTCCACAGGAAGCACCTTGAGCCCTCTAACAACCCTGGGTGCCACTGTAAAGGGTACAGCCCCCTCCTCCTCCACCGCTGCTGCTCCCTCCTTCAACCGCCCTTCTAGCTCTGCCTGTCTGTTCCCACCACCTCCCTCCAGCACCACCCCGCGCTGCACTACCAGGGTCATATTGCCCTGGGAGGGGGTTGTTGTTGTGAAGCCTATGCCACTCTGCCGGGCTGTGTGGGTTTCGGCTGGGTGAAGCAGGGAGGAGCTGTAGGGCGGGAGGGGGGACAGGGAGACAGGTGCAGAGGGAGAGAAAGGTGGTTATTGTGAAGGCTGCAACTTTTTAGTCGGCTCACGTGATAACCGCTCTCCCTCTCTCGCGCCATTTCCCCCAGCACCACCCCTCGCTGCGCTACCAGGGTCATGTTGCCCTGGGAGTGAAGGCAATGCCGATGGGAGGGAGGAGGGAAGAGCTGTGTTGGGGTAAAGGGAGGGGAGGGAGGGAAGGGAGAGAAGGGAGGGGAGTGAGGAAGAGAGAGCACTACCAGGGTCATATTGCCCTGAGAGGGAGGTTGTTGTTGTGAAGGCAATGCCGCTAGAGGGGAGCCCTCTGCGTGCCCTCATCTGCACTGCACACCCATCCCCACATCGACCCGTCATGTAAAGCAGCTGTCAGTTGAACTCCAGTCAGCCCGCTCTGTGCTCACCTGTACGCCCGGCAGATGGCGTGAGTCCTCCTGTCTCTCTGCGTGCTCTTGTCCGCCCCATCCATCCCCATAAGTTGAACCCAACTCGTTCAGCCCAACTTGGCCCTCACCTGTACGCCCGGCAGATGGCGTGAGTCCTCCTGTCTCTCTGCGTGCTCCCATCTGCCCACCCATCTCTGAAGCAAAGCGACCTCTCACCCTCTCCCACAGGGATGGCAGAGTAGCCTACCCCCCTCTGCATCTGAACCCAACTCAGTGCTCACCTGTAGGCTCGGCAAATTTTATGGATCCTTCTCCCTCTTTGCGTACTCTCATCCGCCCATCCGTCCCCAAATCGACCCGTCACCCGCTCCCACAGGGATGGCGGTGGCACGTCTGCATGCACATTCATCTAGTTGGGTGGAGAGGGGTGGAGTGGAGTGGAGTGGAGTGCAGTGTGGAAGGAAATGTTCGTCTGGGAGGAGATGGATGCGTAAAAAAAGTCAACAAATCTATCTACATTCAACCCTTACGAGATTGCTTGAAACAACCCACACACCTACCTCTTTTCCCACGATCACCACCAATGTGCCTTGCAACAAATGTGCCTTGCACCAAATGTGCCTTGCACCAAATGTGCCTTGCACCAAATGTGCCTTGCACCAAATGTGCCTTGCACCAAATGTGCCTTGCACCAAATGTGCCTTGCACCAAATGTGCCTTGCACCAAATGTGCCTTGCACCAAATGTGCCTTGCACCAAATGTGCCTTGCACCAAATGTGCCTTGCACCAAATGTGCCTTGCACCAAATGTGCCTTGCACCAAATGTGCCTTGCACCAAATGTGCCTTGCACCAAATGTGCCTTGCACCAAATGCAACACCAACTACACTCACAGGTGCACACACCTGCCTGCCCCCTCTCTCTCACCACCCTCACTCACCCTCACCACGCTCAATCACTCTCACCACACTCACTCACTCTAACCACGCTCAATCACTCTCACCACACTCACTCACTCTAACCACGCTCAATCACTCTCACCACACTTACCACCACTGTGCCGTGCTTCGGATGAACCACCTGAGTCAAGACTCTCAAGAACGGGCTGTTCCTATCCAGCAGCTCCGGCGGGGTCTCATCTGAGCCGTCAAACACATCCACCAGCACCAGATCGTACGGCTCCTGTTGCTCCTCCCTATCTCCTGCATCTGCTCTCTCCCCCTCCCCCCGCCTACCACTCTCCCCATCCCCCCCTCCTCTCCCAATCCTCTCTGCAGCCCTCAAAACGAAGCTCACTGCATCCTCGTTATAAACTGCCACCCTTCCGTACAAACCCTGCCATAATACCCGCTCTGCTGCTGCTGCGGCAGCTGCTTGGTCCTCTGGTAGCGGCATTCCACCCAGTGCTAGGGCCTCTGTCTCTCCCTCTGCTTTTGATCCAGAAAATGGTTTTGTCTTGGTTCGCATGGCCCATTCTGGGAAGCCCATGTGCCGCATGGCTGCCGCTATGACTGCTGGATCGATCTCCACTGCATCAACGTGGGCGGCTGGATGGGGGATGGGGGGAGGAGGGGGAAATAAGGGGGGATGAAGGAGTAAGGCAGTAAGGTAGAAAAGCCCATGTGCCGCATGGCTGCCGCTATGACTGCTGGATCGATCTCCACTGCATCGATTTGGGAGGCTGAGAGGAGGTGGAAATGGAGGAGGGTGGATGTGGGGGGGGATAGAGGTTAAGGCGTGGAAGCCCATGTGGTGTGTGGCTGCTGCTATGACTGCTGGATCGATCTCCACTGCGTCTGTGCGGGAGGCTGGGGGAGGGATGGGGGGAGGAGGGGGGAGTGAGGGGGATACGGGAGACAGCGGGTGGGACTCGCATGTGCATGTGCATTGGCATTCACGATTTCAAGACAGCAGGAGAGACTCACATGTGCATGTGCATTGGCATGTGCACGCGCAAGGGAGGGGAGGTAGCAGAAGGAGCAGGGAGGTAGATGTGGAGGTGGGACCCTGGGCCTCACAGGGCAGAGCGTGAGCGAGGCAGAGAGGCAGACTGCCCCCTCCCAGCCCGAGGCAGAGAGTGCGCAAGTGGAAATGGTCAAGTTCTGTGCCACTTCCCTCGTGCAAGGGATGGGAAGTAGCAGGTGGGTGGGTGGGACTCACAGGGTAAAGCGTGAGCGAGGCAGAGAGGCGGACTGCCCCCTCCTAGCCCGAAACAGAGAGCACGCAAGGGTGGGGGGGCAGCAAGGGGGCAGTGGGCGAGGTAGGGAGGAACAGATGGTGCAGGAGGGACTCACAGGGCAGAGCGTGAGCGAGGAAGAGGGGCAGACTGCCCCCTCCTAGCCCCAGGCAGAGAATGCGTGGAGAATGGGAAGCAGAGGAGGGCGGGTGGTGCAGGTGGCAACTGGTGAGGGCCGCTGCTGCCATGGACTTGAGGTCTGCGCCGTGTGGGCAAGGGGGGAGGGGAATGGAAGGAGGGGAATGGGGGGAGGGGAATGGGGGGAGGGGACAAGAGCAGTGCGGGAGGGAAGGAGAGCAAGTGGTGAGGGCCGCTGCTGCCATGGACTTGAGGTCTGCATTATGTGAGGCAAACGGCAAAGAGCGGGGGGGAGAGAAGGGACAGAAGGCATGGGGTATGGGAGGCAGGCAAAGAGGCAGGCAGGTGCGGGTGGTGCAGGTGGCAACTGGTGAGGGCCGCTGCTGCCATTGACTTGAGGTCTGCGCCGTGTGGGCAAGGAGGGAGGGGAATGGAAGGAGGGGAATGGGGGGAGGGGAATGAGTGGAGGGGACAAGAGCAGTGCGGGAGGGAAGGAGAGCAAGTGGTGAGGGCCGCTGCTGCCATGGACAAGAAGTTGGGGCCGTGCTTGTGAGGGCCGCTTTTCGAGGCCGTGCTTGTGAGGGCCGCTTTTTGAGGCCGTGCTTGTGAGGGCCGCTTTTTGGGGACGTGCTTGTGAGGGCCGCTTTTTGAGGCCGTGCTTGTGAGGGCCGCTTTTTGGGGACGTGCTTGTGAGGGCCGCTTTTTGAGGCCGTGCTTGTGAGGGCCGCTTTTTGGGGACGTGCTTGTGAGGGCCGCTTTTTGAGGCGCCTCAAAAGTGGGAAAGCAGAGCAGAGGAGGAGTGCAAAGAAGATGGGAACGTGCTGGTGAGGGCCGCTGCTGCTGCCATGCACTTGAGGTCTGCGCTGTGTGGGCAAGGAGTTGAGGAGGCAAGAGCAAAGGGGTTAGGGAGCGAGAGCAGAGGAGGAGTGCAAAGAAGTGCTGGAGAGAGGAATGGGGGGAGGGGACAAGAGAAGTGCTGGAGAGAGGAATGGGGGGAGGGGACAAGAGAAGTGCTGGAGAGAGGAATGGGGGGAGGGGACAAGAGAAGTGCTGGAGAGAGGAATGGGGGGAGGGGACAAGAGAAGTGCTGGAGAGAGGAATGGGGGGAGGGGACAAGAGAAGTGCTGGGGAAGCAACTGGTGGGGTCCGCCCGCTGCTGCCATGCACTTGAGGTCTAGGCCATGTGGGCAAGGAGAGAGAGGGGAGGCAAGAGCAATGGGGGAGAGGGGAGGGGTTTGGGGCAGGAGTTGTGTGGGAGAGGAAGGGGAATGGGGAAGTGCTAGTGATGGCCGCTGCTGGCATCCAGATGCGGTCTGTGAGTGGGCCCCGGTTGGACTTTGGGGTTAGGGAACCAGAGCAGAGGAGGAGTGCAGAGAAGTTGGGGCTGTGCTGGTGAGGGTCGCAGCTGCCGTGGACTCTAGTGATGGCCGCTGCTGGCATCCAGATGCGGTCTGCGAGTGGGCCCCGGTTGCATTTTGAGTCGACTCAAAAATTGACTTGTCACACGAGGATGCGGTCTGCGACACGTGGGCAACGTGAGGGGAGGCGAGTTAAGTCCCACCCCAGTTGGGTAGATTCTCACCTGTGGTCTTAGAGGTTGTGGGTTCAATTCTCAGTAGCTGCAGGTTCCCTTCTCATTATGCTCCACATTACATGTCCACACTCTACCACAGTGAAGTGTGGTCACAGCTGGCATTGCCACCTGTCCACTCATCCCACACTCACCTTGCTGGCCTCTATGGTGTGCCATATGCTGTCATGTGGGCTGTTGTTCCAGCCTGGCCCACATGTGCAACATGTGGCCTCACTTGCTAGCTTGGCAAGGTTGGCTAGCCTAGCCCTCAGCATTGAGGTGCTGCAGCTAGCCTCAAGAGTTCAGCCACATATATGTGGCTTCCCACTTCACTAGGGATTATCCTTGACAAGGACCTTGCTCTAGTCTTTAAGACTTGTACCATTTTCTTGCTAAGGAGATTTCTTCTTCCTATCGTGCCCTAAGTTCACCGATCCACTTTCTTCATGCTATCAGAGCTAGGCTTCTAGCTTTGTGAACGTCGCACACTTGATGGCTCAAGTTGAGACGCCTCTCGGTCGGCACACCCTTCCTATCTTGGAACCGGATGGTTCCAACTTCATTCCATGGAAGAAAAAGATATGCTACATCTTTAATGTCCTTGGGCTGATCTCCTTTCTTGGAGATCCCAAGGTTGCTTCCCGCCCTTCCATTTCCTCCTCCACAACCAGCAGTGGAGATGCTACTGAAGGCAACAATGGTGCAGCCCCTAAAACAGCCCACTCGATTGCGTCGCTGCCGGATGAAGAAAAAGAGGAGCATGCGTACTATCTTCTCATGTCAGCCGTCCATCCTCAGCTCTCGCTCACACTTGCTCAAGCCAACACGACGAAGGACATGTGGGGATGCATCATGGCGCGGTTTGACTGCATGGGTAACCATGCACAAGTGGCTCTCCTCCGAGATCTCATCACTACACGGATGGACCCAACAATGAGTCTTCGCTCCTACTTCGATCGAGTTGGAAATCTTACGCACCAACTCAAATCTGCCGGCTTCGAGTTACCATCTTGGGTGGTGGTAATCTCCATCATTCTCAATCTGCCAGACTCCTTCAAGACTCTCACAGAAACTATTTGCACCGTGAAAGACATCAAGTCTATGACGGTTGAATACCTGCAGTCACGTCTACTCGATGCCGATTGGGAGCGGTCACAATCTGGTACAAGCCGCAACATGGAAGGTGCATACAACCTCCATTCCCAGCCCTCCCACCCTATTCGCTCCGGTTCCCGCCAGTCCCCTACTTGCCGTTACTGCAAGAAAACCGGACACACTATTGACGAATGCTTCAAGTTGAAGAAGAAGAAAGAGATCGAAGAAAGCTCTCGACGGGAGAAATCTGTCATCCAGCCTTCGGTGCATGTGTCAACAAGCTCCTCCGCCGACATCCCTTCGACCTCCACAACACCTACTGCCCCATCAGCCTCTCAGTCCGTACCTGATTCCCGGTACGTTGACATTGCTTTCACCACCAGCCACGGCTCCATCCTCCCCACCTGGACTCCTCTCGTCGCTACTCTCTTCATCTTAACCATCCTCCTCCTCCACCAAGACTCATTGTTGGGTCCATCCGTGTAGTGATGAGATCTCGGAGGAGAGCCACTTGTGCATGGTTACCCATGCAGTCAAACCGCGCCATGATGCATCCCCACATGTCCTTCGTCGTGTTGGCTTGAGCAAGTGTGAGCGAGAGCTGAGGATGGACGGCTGACATGAGAAGATAGTACGCATGCTCCTCTTTTTCTTCATCCGGCAGCGACGCAATCGAGTGGGCTGTTTTAGGGGCTGCACCATTGTTGCCTTCAGTAGCATCTCCACTGCTGGTTGTGGAGGAGGAAATGGAAGGGCGGGAAGCAACCTTGGGATCTCCAAGAAAGGAGATCAGCCCAAGGACATTAAAGATGTAGCATATCTTTTTCTTCCATGGAATGAAGTTGGAACCATCCGGTTCCAAGATAGGAAGGGTGTGCCGACCGAGAGGCGTCTCAACTTGAGCCATCAAGTGTGCGACGTTCACAAAGCTAGAAGCCTAGCTCTGATAGCATGAAGAAAGTGGATCGGTGAACTTAGGGCACGATAGGAAGAAGAAATCTCCTTAGCAAGAAAATGGTACAAGTCTTAAAGACTAGAGCAAGGTCCTTGTCAAGGATAATCCCTAGTGAAGTGGGAAGCCACATATATGTGGCTGAACTCTTGAGGCTAGCTGCAGCACCTCAATGCTGAGGGCTAGGCTAGCCAACCTTGCCAAGCTAGCAAGTGAGGCCACATGTTGCACATGTGGGCCAGGCTGGAACAACAGCCCACATGACAGCATATGGCACACCATAGAGGCCAGCAAGGTGAGTGTGGGATGAGTGGACAGGTGGCAATGCCAGCTGTGACCACACTTCACTGTGGTAGAGTGTGGACATGTAATGTGGAGCATAATGAGAAGGGAACCTGCAGCTACTGAGAATTGAACCCACAACCTCTAAGACCACATGTGAGAATCTACCCTCCGGGACATATTTGCTGCACAACAGGTGCCATGACTTGCCATGGCAGCAGAAACCATGATGCTTATCAGGTCCGCAACACGTGGGCAAGGTGAGGGGAGGCGAGAGCAATGGGGAGAGGAGAGGAGTTGGGAAGGAGAGCAGTGCGGGAGAGAAGGGAAACAGTGAATCAGAACGAAAAGGAGCCCGTGGCTAATAGTATGCTGAAGCTGATGCTGATGCTGATGCTGATGCTTATGCTGATGCTTATGCTGATGCTTATGCTTATGCTGATGCTTATGCTTATGCTGATGCTTATGCTGATGCTGATGCTTATGCTGATGCTGACGTTGGCGCTGATGCTGATGCTTATGCTGATGCTTATGCTGATGCTTATGCTGATGCTTTTGCTGATGCTTATGCTTATGCTGACGTGCTGATGCTGATGCTGATGCTGATGCTGATGCTTATGCTGATGCTTATACTGATGCTGACGCTGACGCTGATGCTGATGCTGATCTGATGCTGATGCTTATGCTGATGCTGATGCTGATGCTGATGCTTTTGCTGATGATTATGCTTATGCTGACGTGCTGATGCTGATGCTGATGCTGATGCTGATGCTTATGCTGATTCTGATGCTATACTGATGCTGATGCTTATGCTGACGCTGATGCTGATGCTTATGCTGATTCTGATGCTGATGCTGATGTTGATGCTTATGCTTATGCTGATGCTAATGCTGATACTGATGCTTATGCTGATGCTGATGATGATGCTTATGCTGATGCTGATGCTTATGCTGATTCTGATGCTATACTGATGCTGATGCGTATGCTGATGCTTATGCTGATGCTGATGCCGATGCTGATGCTTATGCTGATGCTGATGCTTTTGCTGATGCTGATGCTGATGCTTTTGCTGATGCTGATGCTGATGCTGATGCTGATGCTGATGCTGATGCTGATTCTTATGCTGATGCTGATGCTGATTCTGATGCTGATGCTGATGCTTATGCTAAGGCACTCGGAACAAGCCTACACCAGCTAGGGGGCAATGGGAGATGGGCAGTTATTAGCAGGGCACTGTGCGTGCAACAGCAAGGGAACAATGGGAGAGTGGCATTTCATAGCAGGGCACTCAAAGTGTGCGTGCAACAGCAAGGGGACACGAGAAGGGACACATTCAAACGCAAGGCAGTCCGGTTGCTGCCGCTGCAGTATAACACGCCTCCTCTCTCTTCCGCTCCACCCCCTTCCCTATTAGCAGGGCGGTCAAAGTGTGCGTGCAACAGCAAGGGGACACGAGGAGGCACACATTCCCAAGCGAGACAGTCCGGTTGTTGCCGCTGCAGTATAACGCGCCTCCTCTCTCCCTCTTTTGAGGCGCCTCAAAAACCAGCAAGGGGGTAAGAGGAGGCGCACCGCACACACATACATTCAAACGCAAGGCAGTCTGGTTGCTGCCACTGCAGTATAACGCGCCTCCTCTTTCCCTCTCCACCCCCCTTCCCTATTAGCAGGGCAGTCAAAGTGTGCATGCAACAGCAAGGGGGCAAGAGGAGACCGGCGCACATTCGAACGCAAGGCAGTCTGGTTGTTGCCGTTGCAGTATAACGCGCCTCCTCTCTCCCTCTCCCTTCCCTCCTTTAGTCACATCACTCTCCCCCGTTACAGTCACATCCACAGCCACTGTAGCCACCCGCGCCACGCTCTGCCTGGTGCTCTCATTGAATCTCAACACGCGCCACTCGTGCCTTAGCACGCGCACTGCTGCCCCTTCTTCTTCTTCCCCCCATTCTTCCGCGTCCTGCAGATGTGGGAGATGGGGGGGAGGGCGGGGATAGGGGGAGGGGGGCCGGGGAAGGTTAGGGGGAATGGTGAAGCAGCTACGCTCTGCCTGGTGCTCTCTCATTGAACCTCAACACACGCCACTCGTGCCCCAGCACGCGCACTGCTGCCCCTTCTTCTTCTTCCCCCCATCCCTTCGCGTCCTGCGGATGGGGGGGATGGGGGGAGGGCGGAGAGGGATAGGGGGAGGGGGAAGGCGGGCACAAAATGATGAAGCAGCCTTGCTCTGCCTCGTGCTCTGATTGGACCGCAGCAGGTACCACTCGTGCCCCAACACACGCATTCCCCCCTCTCCTCCCCTGCTTGCCGCCACTCCTCCGCGCAGTGCAGAAGGGGCGCGCGGAAGGAGGGCGGAGAGGGATGGGGGGAGCAGGGGCGGAAGTGGATAATGTGACACGGAGGGGGGAGGGAGGGATAAGGTCGCAGCAGGCGATCGGGAGAGGGGTGGTAATAACGAGGAAGGAGGGCGGAGAGGGATGGGGGGAGCAGGGGCGGAAGTATGGGGATTTGAGACGTCTCAAAACTAGATGAGCCACGGAGGGGGGAGGGATAAGGTGGCGTGGCGGGAGGCGATCCTGCCAGGGAGGGGTGATAGCCACGGAAGGGGAAACGATAACGAGAGCTTCCAGGGTGATAATAACGAGGGGACGCAGCTGCTTGCCTCGTCGGACGCGGGGTGAGATGTGACAGAAACGGTGCCATTCCCCCAATCCGACCGTTGCGAGACACCTCGTCGCCTGCCTTCCCCTCCCCCCCTTGCGTGCCTAGGGTGATAATAACGAGGGAATTCAGCAGCTTGCCTCATCAGACGCGGGGTGAGATGTGACAGAAACGGTGCCGTTCCCCCAATCCGACCGTTGCGAGAACACCTGGTCTCCCGCCCCTCTGCCCCACCCGCCGCCCTGCGTGCCCCACCACTCGGGCGACACGTCCCACCGGCCCGGATCCGCCCGCGCCGCCGCGCGACGCGACGCAGAAGTCACCTGCACCTGCCGCGCCGCGGCTAGGACTGAGGCAGGTGGTATTTGCCGCCGGGATGCTTGATGCGAGTGTGACTGTAACGAGGTGCGGTACGTCGCTGGGGAGCGAATAGGCTGTTGGAGGAACGGGTGACTGTATCGAGAGATAGGCTGAATGCTCGGGTTCATTTGAAGGAAATGGCATGGGCGACTTGAATTGCAGCGAGAAACCGTCTCAGCATTGACTAGAGACGTAATGTGCGGAGGGGATGAAGGACGTAATGTGAGAAGGGAAGGGCTTGGGCGACTCGAACTGCAACGAATAACAGTTTCAGCATTGACTAGAGACGTAATGTGCGGAGAGGACGGTGTTGAGTGGGAAGAGGTAAGCGCGGGTAGAGCTGGAGGCGCCGCAGAATGCGCCATAGCAAAATTAGTATGCACACAGAAGAAACCGCGAATCCTTTATTTCGCGAATCCTCGCTATTAAGCGACCCAGCTATCTGAATAAGCTTATCATTCCAGAAAACTGTTTTAGTTTTTGAGGATGCTTTTAGTTCACCAATCAGGTGTGCCGGACCTGAATTGATGATTTACGGTGATTCGACCCCGCAGTACACCTCCAAACACCAGACCCACGCTCATAACAGTCAGAGAAAGATCACATGCTTACATACAGAGAAAGATGGGCTTACATACAAGCTTCTATGGCCTCAGCCACATATTATTTATAATACAATCCCATTAGATGTAGGGTAAAAACACTGCCTAGCAACACATGCTTATAGAAATTATTACAAAAAGCACACACCAAGGTGTGTTAATTAGAAGCTTACAAGCCCTCTTGAGCATCAGCCTCAATTTCCAGCACCTGATCCATCACACAACCCACCAGCACTGGTCTCCACTCCTGACATTCCTCAGCACACTCCAGTGCAACCATTGCCAGGGAGTAAAGCACCCCATCTGGCCAATCACAGCACGGCTGCATCTGACACGACTGGCGTGCCGCCCGCGCCACCACCTCTACCGCCCGGTGGATGTCTGCCGCCGCCCAGCAAGCAGCCAGAAGCTGCCGAACCGCCCCACCGTCCACCCACCCTGTAAGCAGATGCAGCATTAGCAACCCAAGAGCAAACACATCCCCTGCCTCTGCTCCCCCACTCTGCCCCTTCCCTATCTCTTTCCCACCCTCATTCCAGCCCACTCCAAGCCCTTCCCTTCCCTTCCTCTCTCCCCCATCCTCTGCCAAACAAATATACCCCTCCATACCCATCTCTCTATTCAACTTCTCAGACATTTTCCCCGGGTCCGCTGCAAGCGCAGCCACACCCGCCAGCAGCAGCTTGCACGAGTCATCGCGAGTCAACAGCACGGTCTCCACTCCCAGGCACCCCGCCGCGATAGGCGGCGACTGCTGGTGCAGCCACGTCAGCGCGCGGCACGTCTGAGTCACGATTTTCAGCCGGGTCTGCCAGCTCAGCGGCCTGAGAGACCCACCGCCCAGACTCCTGGTCCCAACCGGGCCATTTCCCGCACTCCCCTCCACAAACCTCTCACTTGTGCTACTATCCGGACTATTGAAACTGCCCGCACTGCTGCTCCTATGCACCAGACTCCCGCTGCTGCTCGTTCGACTCATAGCACCGCCAGAGCCGCCGCCGCCAGCGCCGCAGCAGGCGAGGCGAGTGGCCAATGAGGTGCTGCCAGGTGGGCGCGGGTAGACGAGGCAGCGGAGGGACGGGGAGCAGCCGAGGAGCGGACAGATGTGCGCGTGTTCTAGTGGCGCAATGAACCGCTGCGCGGCAGCCTCAAAGGGAGACGGAGCAGACGAAGCAGACTCGGGATCTGCTGGGCCCGAGAGCCAATCCGGGCCGCTCATCTGCGCGGCGACGATCTGGATCCCGCCCATGTACCCGTTATAAGCGCGCACGAGCGGGTGGCGCGGCATGAGGCAGAGGCGGTCGCTGAAATTCCCCGTGGCTCCCGCGACCGTGCCAGCGTCCAGATGCAGACAGCCGGGCTGCGATGAAATCGAGGGAAGAGACGGGAGCGCGTTCCTGTGCGGCGGCCGCGTCGCGACGAGACTACCGGTGGTGCTGCTGCGTCCGTCGAACGGACCGTCGGATGCATCCGCGTGCCCCGCGTCCGCCGCCTTGCCTTCCTCCGAGCATCGGCGGAAGGGCATCGAGGCTCCGCCCCGTACGCCCCCGCGCGACCGCGGGGTCTCCCCCTCTACTAGAGTCACCTCCAGGCCGTCCGCGTCCGCGCCCCCCTGACCGTGCGCCTCCGCGCCCCCGCGCCCGTCGACCACGATTCCCGGCTTCATCGGCGCTTTCTTGCCGCCCTGCGACGCTTTCTCTCCCCACTTGCTGCTGTGCGACGCATCGAAGTATCCAGGCGACGGCGGGCGCGGCTGCGACTGCTGCTTGAAGCTCCTGTTGCTGTCCGCGGGCGACGCGGACTTTAAACTGCGGGGCGGAGATCCCAAGGACTCGCTCCTCTGGGGGCCGGACTGGGAACCGGACAAGTCTTGCGAGCTCGTGCGCCAGAATGACGTCAGCTTGGCGCTCAGCTTGGCCGATCCGGACGACGATGACGTGGCAGCAGCAGCGCCATTGGCGCTGGCGGAGGACGCGGGCGGGGAGGTGGAATCGGCGCGCTGTTCGCGCTCCGCCGGAGGGGAGAACTTGCGCGAGCCTGCGGGGGAGAGAAACCCTCGCGGGGGGGTTTGGGGTGCGGAGAGATAGTGCGCGTCCCGCGCAGCAGCATTCCCGCGCGCCAGTTCCACGACGGGAGACGCGGCGCAGGATCCGGGGCTGCCAATGGTGATGTCTTTAAGAACCTTCTTGCCCTGCAGCGCGACGAGCCGCGCGTTGTCCGGGAGGTGCGCCGCGAAAAACGGCCCGGATAAGGCTTCGATGATCGCTATGGCGGACCGCTTTCCGAACATGCTGGGCCTGAAAGGGGGTGATGGAAATAGGAAGGCAGATGAATGCAGGAAGTGAAAACGGATCGCAGAGAGGAAACAAGACAGAAAGAAACGAGCCGCGGAATGAACGTTTAGAAGTCGAGCGAATCGCGGAGTGTGGAAGTGCGAGCTGTGGCGTGCTTGACGGAGACGAAGACGCCGCGGAAAGCAGGGGAAATGGGGAAGAGGAGGGGGAAGGGAAGAGGGGGAAATGGCGCGCAGCGTACTTGGCGGAGAGGAAGACGCGGTGGAAAGCAGGGGGAATGGGGGAGGTAGGGAAAGGGGGGAGGGAGGGGGAGAGGAGGGGGAGAGGAGGGGGAGGAGGGGGGTGGGGAGGGGGGGGAGGGACGGCGCGCAGCGTACTTGGCGGAGACGAAGACGCGGTGTGGCGAGAGCTGCTTGGCGATCTCCAGCATCCCCGCCTTGCGATCGTCATTGCGCACGACGATGATGTCCACATCCGCCTGATGCGGCGAGAGGGGGGGAAGGAGGGGAAAGGAGGATGGGGGGAAGAGTGGCGGCAAGGGTGAGAAAGGACCTCAGAAAGAAACGCCTTGCGGTCGTCGTCGTTTCTCGTGTGGTGCGCAGCCGCCACACGAAAAAGTCGGAACGGAAACAGTCTGAACAACACGCACAAAAGGAAATAACGATCGTAATGCTGCTCCTACTAGTACTGAGAACGCGCAGCCACGAGAACGCATCTGAGAGCAGTTGGTACCTCGTTTTTTAGCGCGAACTTGACGAGCGGGTCGAGAAGCATCGCGCGCATGTTTTTCTCGTGCGTGTCCGCCGTCATCGGGCTGACCTCGCTGATGGGCAGCCGCATCATGTCGCCTGCGCCATGGTCACCGATGGGAATACGGAAAAATGAGTTTAGAGAGGGGAGTGAATCATCGCGATGGGCCGCACGGCTCGAAGCTATCATGGAGTCCGTCAGCTTCTGAATCAACTCAAAAACTGCCTTCAGCGCGGGCCAGAAACAGAACATGCAGCCTTGGGGTCACCGTAGGCTCACACGACCGAAGACCGCGAATGCGGCTTGGATAATTCCGATGAGTGCGGGCTTACGATCGACGGAGATGTGCGTGAGGACGTGCACAAGGTGGATGCGTGCCGATTTCGTCGCGCCGCTCATCCGCCACTCCGCTATGGCGAACGCCAACGCGTCCTCGCTCAGACTCAACGACCCATCACGCGCCTCCACCAGCCACGCCGCCATCGGTGCCGCCTTTGATCCGGGGCGCCGCTGCTGGTGCTGGGGAGGAGACTGCTCCTCCTCGATCTCCATTTCTCCACGTTTGATAGCCACGATGCGATTCGACGAGTCCGCAAAATGCGGCGTATGATACGGCGGCAGACACGACTATAGTAAAGAATAGGATTGAATACGACACTCTCCCACCTAACAAACCGGGATCTCAATGCGAAGCTGAACGAAATCGTTCTGTGAACTATTCGTGGCTGGACTCAGGTGCGGGTGAGAGCTTCGTGTTGTACTTGTAGTTGCAAAACGCTTAGTAACTGAACTCGAATCATGTATGTGGCTGAGCATTACAGGGTCCGTGTCACACAAAATTGGACGATTCGAAGTGAAATCTTTCGGAGTGGACGGTGGCGGCAATGACACTAGAAAAAATACACGCTGAAAGATTTCACATGGACACAAACGGACTGTGGCTGCTTTGGTACAGCTAGGGGGTGTCCAGCTCGTTCATTTACTGTTCGTAAAGCCCTTCAGTTACCACAATTTGAGTTGTAACACTGAGTTTTACAAAAATGCCAGACACGATCAGCTCCCGTTCACGATACGGCACACCCCCTGCACGTACCTCGAATCGTGTGACGCACGTTACAGGAATCAGCGTGCGCATCAAACAATGGTACAGAGCCGCGTCCTGCCCACTACAGTGAGTGCCCATCGTATCGCGAGCTTGATTTCGCATGTGCCGCCTGACACTCGCCAAAACCTATAGTGGAAGTGTTGGCCTGGCGAAAATTCTAACGCTTTGGTTGACGAGGGAACTGTTTACCTTGGTTGCCACACGGCCCCTGCACTGTTGAAGTCTGTGTGGGGGGATGGTGTCCGCGCGCCAGAATGACAGAAAGGGTGGACTCGAGCAAGGCACTCTCGTTTATAGGTACAGTGTTCAGTTTTGAACCCCGGATCGTGAGGAGGTACTAGATTTCCCGAAATGAACGAGCTGGACACGCCCTAAGAGCAGGAACACAGCGTTGGCTGGCTTGTTCTCCTCGCATTGAGAGGTGGAACTGTGGCTATGTGGAATGTCGTGTGAGAGTAGCGTGACTTCCGCGAGCAGCATGCCTGCTTGGCGAAGAAATGAGGTCGTAGTTTTGGTGGCTGAAAAGGGTTTGGATGGTTTGGGATGGGTGTACTGTACTGGGCGGATGTCTACGAATTTGTGCCCTGCGCTTCGGTGCTAGGCTGGGTATTCGTCTTTGGCTGGAATTGCTTTGGATGTTTGCCAGGGACAATCAATGTTTAAGGTGAGATGTGGAAGGCAAGGGAAAAGGGGCGGTGGGAAGGATGGCGGCGCGAAACGTGTACACATGATGCTCAACTGCTGCGCGCGAATTTGCCCTTTACACGCCAGAAAGTCTGCACCCGTGTATTTTGCGCCAGATAGCTGCACCCACGATACAAGCACCCCGGGCAAGCTGCATTGGCTATGAACCAATAGTAACCACAGAAACCAAATAATATCTGAAGAGACTGGAGTAAAAAATTCAACGAAGAGTTACAATTTTTTTATAAGCCCTTTTTTGCTAGGTGCGACGTTGACGAAATTTGCGAAAAAAACTAGAACCACTTAAATGCCCTCTTTACAAGGCAACCTTGGGTCAGTCAAACGAGCATCATGTGTACCTCAGGTCTGCTTCGAACGCGCGCTTCGATAAAACCAACAAGGCAAGACTGTCCTTGGCTCGGCAGTGACAATAGCTTCGAGGTTTCGACGGCAGGATTTCATTCTATTAAGTCAAATAATTCCACGTGTCGGTATACGCCAGTTCCGATGCCATCGTGGCAGCAAAAGTGTTGTAAGCCTGAGAGAATATTCCCTAGGCTCGACAGAATTCGGCACCAAGCCTGAACGCATTTCTTCCCAACCAACTGACCTGACATAATAGACTTGCCAAGGGGCCCAGCCAGCCCTGGCTCGGCGGGATGCCCCATTGTACTGCTGTACTTCTAGTTGTCTATTCGAATATGCCTCTGGACGGAGCTTTCCAGCAGGGACATTGCCACGTCATATCAATGCTGCTGCTGCTGCTGCTGCAACTAAAATATCGAAAGATGGGGATGTTGTTGGCCCCTCGCAGTCGCACGAGCCACAAAACGACGACAAAACGACAAGGAGATACCAAGGCCGAACTTTCAATGAAATACATTTAACAGAATACAGAACAAAAGATGCTACAGAAATAGTTTTCGAGGAACATAAAGATGGTACAAAAACAAAAACCAAATTGATGTGTGAAAAATGACAAACAAATGAGAATGCAGTACGTGAGCAGTTTGAAATCGTACATTAACGACTAGATTATACATCAAAACACAGCATGCATATGTGTGCGTGTGTGTGCATGCGGGTGGGTGTGTGCGCGTATGTATACATGCACATGCACATGTGAATGTGCTTGTGCGTGCACACATGTACGCATGTGCAAAGTGAGATTGTAGGGAGGGATGGGTGGGTATCGAAAACGCGTCCTTCGGATCGTTTATGCACACATACACTCACTAGGACATAACTATATTCAGCCTCACCGATTACTACACCGATCACTGTGCCCGTCACCATCCAAACCACCCTCCAACGCAGCCACCTCTCGACCAATCACATCCGATAAATCCTCCACCTGAACCAGTAACCGCTGTAACCGCAAGCCCATGCCATCCAGCCTATCTTGCACCTTCTGCAGCCGCGCCCTCTGCTTCTTCGCTCCCCCTCCCCTGGGTTCTAAAGGGATGCAGGGGTTGATGAGGGGATCGAAGGGGAGGCTCACAGCCCACTGGGGACTCGCTGCTTTCAGCCTGAGAGGTGGTGCATGAGGCAATGGGGATGAAGAGAAAGAGGAAGACAGGGGGATGCAGGAAAGAATTGGGAGATGGGTGAAGGGACAGCCGCGCCCTCTGCTTCTCCGCACCCCCCTCCTCCACGCTCCAAGGGACTGCGGGGGCTGATGAGCGGGTCGAAGGGGAGGCTGGCGGCCCACTGGGGACTCACTGCCTTGGAGCCTGTGGTGGAGCAGGTGGAGAGGGAGATGCAGAGGGGTGCAGAGGGTTAAGGGAAGCAGTTCCCCTGCCTCCAGGCTCCGAGGGCCAGCAGGGGGTGATGAGCGGGTCGAAGGGGAGGCTCACAGCCCACTGGGGACTCGCTGCCTTGAGCCTGTGATGGAGGGGGCAGGGGGCAAGGGGTATGGAGGGGGGGTGAAGGGAGCAGGACAAGAGGCATGGAGGCTGACAGGCCACTCGCTGCTTTCAGACTGCAGTGGAGCATGGGACAGCGGGATCCGGAGGGACAGTCACCTCATTTGCTTCTCCACAACCAATCACCAGGCTCCAAGAGGCAGCAGGGGCTGATGAGCGGGTCGAAGGGGAGGGTGACGGCCCACTGGGGACTCGCTGCCTTCAGCCTGAGAGACAGCAGGTGGAGAGGGAGATGCAGAGGGGTGCAGAGAGGTTAAGGGAAGCAACCCCCCCCTCTACAGGCTCCAAGGGGAGGCATGGGCTGATGGGCGGGTCGAAGGGGAGGCTCACTGCCCACTGGGGACTCGCCGCCTTGAGCCTGAGGGGGATGAGGTAGAAGAGGTGCAGGGGGGATGTAAGGGCAGCACAGGCTGATGAGCGAAGGGTCGAAGGGGAGGCTCAGTGGGGACTCGCTGCTTTGAGCTTGAGACACCTCCTGCGGGTCGAAGGGGAGGCTCACAGCCCAGTGGGGACTCGCTGGTTTGAGCTTGAGACACCTCCTGCGGGCTGTCTCGTCTGCTTCCTCCCACCTGTCACGGCAACCACACTGCCTGTATGCTGTTGCCTGTTACCCACCTTACCAGCTCACCCACTCACTTCGCCTGGCAACCCAATCTCACTCACCTCTATTTCACCCCCACCAATGCCTGGGACCTGCTGTCTGCTTCCTACTTCTCTCACAGCAACCACACTGCCTGTACGTGTCACCTGTTACCCACTTTACCAGCCCACCCACATTGCCTGCCCACCCAATCTCACCTCTCTTTCACCTCCGCCCCTGCCTGCGAGCTGCCGTCTGTTACCCACCTCTCACCTGTAACCCACTCTACCAGGTCACTCACTTTGCCATCCCACCCACTCTGCTTGCCCACCCAGTCTCACCTCTCCTTCACCTCTCCTTCACCTTCGCCACTGCCTGCGATTTGCCAGCCATTACTTACCCCTCACGACAGCCGCACTGCCTGTATGGTGTCACCTGCTACCCACCTTACCAGCCCACACACATTGCCAGCCCAACCAATCTCACCTCTCTTTCACCTCCGCCCCTGCCTGCGAGCTGCCGTCTAGGGTTTGGGGTTTACCCACCTCTCACCTGTTACCCATTCTACCAGGTCACTCACTTTGCAAGGCAAACCAATCTCACCTCTCTTTCACCTCCGCCACTGCCTGCGAGCTTCCTTTGGTTACCTACCGACATGGCCGCCCAACGAATTTCATAACCACTGCCCAACGCACCTCTCTTTCACCTCCGCCACTCCCTGCGAGCTGCCGTCCGCAACCGCAATCGTAACATCCACAACTCCCGCCGCCCGCAAATCCACAGCCAGCACCGGAATATCTTGCGGCCAGAAGTGGACGGCGCTACAGTCCAACGAGTGCCTCCCCTGCTGCCGAGCCTGGTGCCGAGCCTGCCGGCGGTGAGTGTTTTTGGACTCGAACCGGACCACCAGTGGCTCCAAGCCTGCAGGACAGGCTCGGACATGCGCTGTGGTGCTGCCAAGTGTCACGATGCGAGTGGCCAGAGCTGCTTGATATGCCTCCTTTGACTGTGTGGTCGGGGAAAAGAATATGATGGTGGGGAGGGAAGGAAGGAGATACCTTTGGAGTCGACCCAAAAGTGGTCAGGGCAGCTTGCTGTGCCTGGTTTGACTGTGTGAGAGGGTGGGGAATGAGGTATGGTGGAGGTGTGGGAACAGGAGCCAGGAGGAACCATTAAGCTGCACACACAACAGGTGGGTGGATCGTTTAGTCGATGCGAAGAGCGTGGCAGGGTCTGCTTGATATGCGTGCCTTGACTGCGTGGGTGGGTTGGGAAGTAGATACAGTCGTGGAGCCAGGAAGAACCCTCAAGCTGCACACGCAACACTTGTCAAGTGTACCTGGAAAGTCACAGGGGAGAATGCCACAGGGGAACTGCCTGCAAGCCTGCAAGCATCAAAAGAAGAAAATCAGGGCAGAAGTTACCTGGAAAGTCACCACTGAATGCAGCTGTGGCTCAGGAGCAGCCAAAGAATCTGATTCGCCAAAAGGTCCACCGATATCCGCTTCCGATGTTTTCCCAGCTGCCCGATCTGCAGATTGCTCCAACCGCAGGCCGTCCACCTGCCCGAACTCTTCAAGAGCTGCCCGAATCTGGGCTACACTGATTGATGGAGAGACATCAGTGAGTGTGACTGTAAAGAAGCTTGATTTCGCAGCAAGCGGAGGGAAAGAGAAAGAGTCGCCGGGCAGCCCACAACCTTTTCCTGACCGTTCCACCACCCTCCCTCCTACTGCTGCGGTCACTGCTTTCGCCGAACCTAATCTCCCCAAGCCCGCACCTCCCAAACCAGATGCCGCCGAATCTGCTCGTTCCGAGCCTAAACCAGCGTCTTCACTCCTAGGCAGGGGTAAACTGTCAGTGCAACGCGGCTGTGAAACGCAGGGTATTTGGGAGCTTAGTAGCGCTAGCAGACCATCTGAAGCACTAAGCCCTAAAGCACTATGCCCTAAACCCTGAACCCTCCCCTGCTGCTGCCTCCTGCTACTCCCTGCCCTGTGCTCCCCGTTTCTCACACCCCTCTCTGTCGTGCGCTTGCTGCCGCTCCCTCTCTGCTGCTGCCACGTCACGTGCTGCTGCTGCCACGTCAGCTTGTCAACGTGGGCCCGGGTGGTTGGGGCGAGGAGTGGGAGGGTGTGTCTACAGGGGGTAATAGAGAGAGGCGCGGAGACAGGAGGAGAGATAGGAGAGGAGCAGGAGGAGGGGGAGGAGGAAAAGGATGAAGAGGAGGAGGAAGAGATGGAAGAGGACGAGGCGGAAGAGGAGGAAGAGTGATGGGAGGAAGATAGAGCATTAAGAAAGCCGTCCTCGGTCTTAAAATAGACTACAGCACGTGTGCCCCTGCCACGTGTCCCTTTGTACAGCCTCACATCCACCACCTCTCCTCCTCGCCCCTCCATCATCTGCCACGTGTCCTCCTCTGATATGTCCAGAGGCAACCCCGCTACCTGCACTCCATAGCAGCACCGATACTCCCCATCCGTCCTCGTTATAGCCTGCCTCGCTGGAACGCCATTCCAGAACCGTTCGCCTCTAGTAAACTCAGCTGCGTCGTCTGAAGCACTCACGCCCCCTTCCACAGCAACATCAGGGTCACCAAAGCCGCCATCCCTCCTCAATATCTCCTCCTCATTCACTTCACGCTCGTTGTCTGAAGCACTCACACCCCCTTCCACAGCAACATCAGGGTCACCAAAGCCGCCATCCCCTCTCAAAAACTCCTCTTCCTCGCTTTTCTTTTGCTCTCTCGGCCCTTCCGTGCCCAAGTCTCTCCCTCTATCGGTCAAACCTCCCCGCCCCTGTGGGGCCTCCTCCCCCGTTCGCTCGATACCCTGTGGCCTAAGCAAAAGCCTGAGTGCGTCCAAGCCACTGCTGTTGCCGCTGCTATTGCCATTGCTACTGCTGCTCGTGCTGCTGCTGCTGCTGCTGCTGCTGCTGCTGCAGGTGGTTGTACTGCTGCTGCAAATGTTGCTGCTGCTCCTACGCTCCTCCGACGCTCCGCCCTCTCTTCCTTCCGACGACGCTCTCAACCACTCAAGACCGGTTTCGCCAGGCGTCTCAAAACCCTCCACCGCTCCTAGCCTCTCAGGACCGATTTCCCCAACCGCTCGATCCCACGCCGCCGCACCAACTCCTCCTGTCCCATCGCCCGCCGACGTGGTAGTTTCAATCGAATCCTGGAACACCTCAGTGCCGCTGCTGGCCCCATTGCTGGTAACGGAACAGTGCTTATCGGAGCTACTGCTGACACCACTGCTAGCGTCTCTTCGACTTCCATCTCTTCGACCTTTATAGGAGTTGCTGCTATCAGCACCGTCCGCATCGACCCTTCTCGCGCTGCTATTCGTTGCACTCCCCACGGCAGAAGCGAGGTTCATAATCCGATTCAGCAAGCCGCGATCCGCCTGGATCTCGCCGAACCTGCTCTCTCGGGATCCGAACCTCCTTGTCCCGCCGAAGCTGTTGCCGGCTCCGAACCCCGTTGCTACCCCAGACCTCCCAGGAGGCTCGTCTGTCGGACGCTCGAGGTTCGGCGCTGCTTCGGTTGGATCCGATCTAAATATCGTGGTAACACGTCCTTCGTTTTCGCAGCTGTCGCTACTATGACTGTGGAACGGTTCTCGTGCATCGCTCGAATGCAGCAGTCTCGCGAGTTGATTCGACAACGAATCCACATGATCGAGGGAATGGTTCGATTTGGCGCAGCGAGCGAGAGGGATTGCTGAAGATCGAGAACGAAAATGCTGGAGCGATCTGAGGCCGGAAGACGCCATTGATGCTACTACTACAGTGCGGCGCGACAGAAGGACATAAAGGCACAGAACGGATAGCTAAGACCGGTACGGCGCAGTGAACGCTTGGTCGTCGCGCCAGATTGGACGCGGGGAATTTATGGCTTCGGGCGCCGGCGTGATGTCGAACGGTGATCGCGGCGTGTACGAGCTGAGCGGTATGATTTGATCACTGATCGGCCTCACTTCTCTGCTGCTGAAATCTTCTAGACGACTGTCACGAGCAAAAACGCGCAACAGGAAAACTCGTTGAACGGTAAAGCTGCCGAAATTCCCCTTTCTGCAAATCTGGTTGCATATGGTTGCAAAGACAAACAACTTCCTGGTTTTTGAAAAGTGAGGGTCTGCGCACTGACATGTTGGTAGCGGTTCGGTGTCAGTTCGTAAACGAATGTGCCAGATGACCACTGGCGGGCTTTTCCCGAGACCCCAAACCAAGGCCCATGTTTCAGCACCCAGGATGAGGGGATGGGATATCTGTGCGAACTCGTGTGTTCGTCAGTCCGAAACGGCAGACTTTGTTACCCGCTGCGAATATACCTTCCTTGAAACTGAGTATGGGCGAAACATGACATAAGCTCGTCAATGGTAACAGCACCTCATTCGGTTCGGCAGCCATGGCAATGGCAGAGCGAGGAACACCATGACCATGAGCAGAGCCGAGCCGTTTTTTTGGGTTTCCCGCCAAATGCATCTGTCACCTTGACAACTCCACCAAAGACCAAGGAGCTCACCCACACCACCGTTAGAAATGAACTAGAATCTAGGAATTACCTGATCGTGCCTCGCGGTTCAGCTCGAACAAGACAGTTAGAGCTGGCTGATCAGCTCTCTAGATTCTTGCGTTTCGTCACCCCGCGCCGCCATTCGGTCACGCATTTCGTAGTGACGTGGCTTTTGTAGTAGCTAGTATCTTTAGTATCGTTTCTTATGAAAGGACGAAGATTGCGAGTGTCATTATTTGGTCCATCATCGTCGTTCTGATGGCGTAGTAGTGCTAGACTCCGAAGACAGTCAAGACACACCTAGGCCGGCACGTTGTAGATACACGTTTAGGTGGACGTCTTTCTGCTTTAGTGGGGTCTCCAACAAGCATGGATTTGAGCTACTAAATAATGAGAGCCCTCCAGCCTTAGTGTGTAGGGTAGTCGAATAAGTACATGTAGGCACCCAGTTAGCAGTATCGTTCACGTCACAATCTGCAGCTAATTAGCCAATCTGCACCGCCATCGACATCACACAGAAAGCTTGCGATGGGACGACCAGACACGCGAAGAGCGCAGAAGATTCGTATCCTCGTTATACACACTTTCTCTCTTCGCCAAGCCACTCGCACTTTTCCAGCAAAATCTGGTTCGGTTTGCAAGTCCATTCCTGTGCTCGTTCCCCTCTTCTTCTCCCAACTATAAAGCTACACAACCTCTTTTCAGCTTTCCCGGCTTTTGCTCTTCCGTCTTCGATACAGTATTCTCCCTTTCTTTTTTTTATCACCATCCTGGTTTCCTTAACTCGCTGATTTACCACGTACCTGTAACACGTAACTTAACGGCAACCAGAAACGTTCGCGGCGCACACAGCCAGTGTAAAATGCGTGAGCATCGGGCGGAAGACGGGCGAAAGGGTGATTACGGGCGGCGACGACAAGAAGCTGCTCCTCTGGTCCACCCACGACCGCGAACCGCTGCTCGTAAGTGTTGGTAACAGCGCACTGGTAACCCGTTTAAGCGAATAAATTTCTGTTCGGGGTGTCGACGACAAGAAACTGCTCCTCTGGTCCACCCACGACTGCGAACCGCTCCTCGTAAGTGTGGTAACAGCGTGCTGGTAACCCGTTTGAAGCAAATGAATGTTAATTAGGTAGCGGCGTCAAAAAGCTGCTCCTCTGGTCCATCCACGACCGCGAACCTCTGCTCGTAAGCATGGATGAATTGTACGGCCAAGATAGAGTCATTGCGGGTAGCCATACAAGAAGTAGCAGGTCAGTTCCATTCACGAGCGGTAACCGGTGCGGAGAGCGCAGTGGAGAGCGCTCCTTCTGAGCAGACTCTGCATGCAGTGCTTTTTCTCTACCTACGCCTGTCTCTTCCGAATCTTGGTTCCTTTCACTCCGTCCCACATGCGCCCTGTTGTGGAAGCAAGAATGTCCCAGTGGGTACCTTTGGTCTTAGTGGTCGCGGGTTCAACTCTCATCGGCAGCACCTTCTCTTCTCATTATGCCGAACATGACACTCCCACACTCCACCACACTCACCCACAGTGAAGTGTGGTCACAGTTGGCATTACCATCTGTCCACCCATCCCATACTCACCTTGTTGGCTCCTATGGTGTGCCACATGCTGCCATGTAGGCTGTTGTTCCAGCCTGGCCCACATGTGCAACATGTGGCCTCAATTGCTAGCTTGGCAAGGTTGGCTAGCCCTGCCCTCAGCTTTGAGGTGCTGCAGCTAGCCTCAAGAGTTCAGCCACATAAATGTGGCTTTCCACTTCTCTAGAACTCATCCTTGGAAAGGACATTGCTCTAGCCTTTCAGGCTTGTACCATCTTCCTACTAAGGATATATTGTTCTTCTCTCATTGTGCCTCAAGTTCACCGATCCTCATTCTACATGGTATCAGAGCAAGGCTTCTAGCTTAGTGAACGTTGCACACTTCATGGCTCAAGTTGAAACGCCTCTCGGTCGGCACACCCTTCCCACCTTGGAACCAGATGGTTCCAACTTCATTCCATGGAAGAAAAAGATCTGCTACATCTTCAATGTCCTCGGGCTGATCTCCCTCCTTGGAGATCCCAAGGTTGCTTCGCGTCCTTCAATCTCCTCTTCCACAACCAGCGGTGGAGAGACTACCGAAGGCAACAGCGGTGCAGCCCCTAAGACAGCCCATTCGATTGCTTCGCTGCCGGATGAAGAAAAAGAGGAGCATGCATACTATCTTCTCATGTCAGCCGTCCATCCTCAACTATCGCTCACTCTTGCTCAAGCCAACACGACAAAGGATATGTGGGGATGCATCATGGCGCGGTTCGACTGCATGGGCAACCATGCACAAGTGGCTCTCCTCCGGGATCTCATCACTACACGGATGGACCCAACAACAAGTCTTCGCTCCTACTTTGATCGAGTTGGAAACCTTACACACCAACTCAAATCTGCCGGCTTTGAGCTACCATCATGGGTGGTGGTAATCTCCATCATCCTCAACCTTCCGGACTCGTTCAAGACCCTTACTGAAACCATTTGCACCGTGAAAGACATAAAGTCTATGACGGTTGAATACCTACAGTCACGCCTACTCGATGCCGATTGGGAGCGGTCACAATCTGGTACAAGCCGTAACATGGAGGGTGCATACAACCTCAATTCCCAGCCCTCCCACCCTCTTCGCTCCGGTTCACGCCAGTCGCCCACCTGCCGTTACTGCAAGAAAACGGGTCACACCATCGATGAATGCTTCAAATTGAAGAAGAAGAAAGAGCTTGAAGAAAGCTCTAAACGGGAGAAATCCGTCTTCCAACCCTCGGTGCATGTCTCCACCAGCTCCTCTGCTGAAGCTACTCCGACCCCCACACCACCTCCTGCCCCATCAACCCCTCAGTCCGTACCTGATTCCCGGTACGTGGACATTGCTGTCAGCACCAGCCACCACCCCATCTTCTCCACATGGACTCCTCTCGTCGCTGCTGTCTTCATTCTCACCATCCTCCTCCTCCTCCTCTTCCCTTATGGGGCTCCCTACGCATCGGCATTCACGGCCTCCTCATTCAATATGGAGCGGACTTCGTCGTGGCTGGTGGACAGCGGCGCATCCTCCCATATCTGCTCGGATCGTTCGCTGTTTTCGTCTCTCAAGAAGCCCAACGAAGAGATCCTTGTTCGTTTTGGTGGAGGAGAGACTTACAAGGTCTTGGGAGTCGGCACGGTGGTGGCTACTCTTCGGTCACCAACATCGGAAACCACCATTCAGCTTGACAACGTTCTATTTCTCCCTTCATCAGTTCACAACCTGCTCTCTGTTCGTGCGCTTGGTGCTGCCGGCGTTGCCGTCTCGTTCCCCGCTGCTGGGCGCGTTGTTCTCACATCTGATGACGTTCCTATTGGCGAGGGCTACACCCGCAACAATCTGTTTTATCTTCAACTGCATCATGGGAGCAGTGCTGCTCCTTCTATCAAGCCAACTGCATGTCCAGCCTCCACCACCACCTCCTCGTACCTCTGGCATCGTCGTTTCGGGCATCTCAACATGCAGGCCTTGTCAACACTTCATCGGCAGCAGCTGGTCACCGGTCTTCACCTCTCCTCCACCTCGATTCCCCCCTGCATCTCGTGCTATCGTGGGAAACAAACACGTCAGCCATTTGGCGTGTCCCATTCTCGCACCACAGCCCCACTCCAACTCATTCACTCAGATATTGCTGGACCGCTTTCATATGGAACTACCATTGGCGGCGCTCGCTACCTTCTCACCTTCATCGACGACTACTCCCGCCACATTACAGTGTATCTCCTACGCCACCGGTCGGAGGCACTTTCATGCTTCAAGGCTTACGTCACTCGGGTGCACAACATGCATTCCCCACACACCATCAAAACCTTTCGCTCTGACGGTGCCTTGGAGTTCACTTCCAAAGCCTTCACTTCATTCCTTACAGCTCATGGCATCGCCCGCCACCTCTCCACGCCATACACACCTGAGCAAAATGGAGTAGCTGAGCGGGCCAACCGGACTTTACTTGAGATGGTCCGTTCCATGCTCCATGATGCACACATGGACAAAGGCTGGTGGGGTGAAGCCGCTCTTACTGCTGCCTATCTTCGTAATCATGCCATTAGTCGGGGTGGTTCAACTTCTAAGACTCCCATGGAACTATGGACCGGTGCACGTCCGGATGTATCACACCTCCGCATCTTCGGTTCACCCGTCTCGGTCCTCATTCCTTCCCAACGGCGTTCTAAGCTCGACGACCGAAGCACGGCCGGCATCATGGTTGGATATGGTCATCTCGACGGCACCAAAGCTTACCGCATCTATATCCCATCTCAGCACCTTGTCATCCTTTCTCGTGATGTCATCTTCATGGAGCCCTCTGCACCGCCTTCCGACGACTCTCGCGACCCTCCATCGTCATCTCCACCCACATCCTCCTCACTACCTCCTCCTACACACCCTTCTTCCTTGGACCCAATCTCCCCTCCCTCTCCTTCCCCCACCATACCTTCCTCCACCAACCCCCACCCACAATCCCCAAACCTGCCCGCACCAGCCACATCTTCTCCTCCTCCATTGCTTTCCAACCTTCCTCTGCCCTCGACGCCGCAAGACTTTCACCTTCCATCCTTCTCTCCTCCCTCTTCGCCTCCCCCTCCCCATTGCACGACTCGCTCCTCCCCGCCATCCCCCTCAGCTCTTCCCGATCCTTCCCTTTTCTCCTTCCTCAAGGTCTTACCATCCCCTTCCGAACCCATTGACTTCACTCTTCCTCCTCTTTCCAACACCTCTGCCAATGCTGCCCTTCACCATCATTACGAACCTCAAACCATTCATGAGGCTCGTACCGGCCCTGATGCTGCCGAATGGATCAAGGCTGCTGATGCGGAACTCGCTGCCCTGCACGCTAATGACACCTACAGCATTGTTCCTCGACCACCCAAGTGCAAGCCGATTCCATGCAAATGGATTTTCAAGGTCAAGGAGAACGCTGATGGTTCTATTGAACGCCGCAAAGCCCGCCTTGTTGTCAAAGGCTTCAAGCAACTAATGGTGTTGATTTTCATGACACCTTTGCTCCTACCGTCCGCTTCGCCACCCTCCGCTTGTTTCTCACCATAGCTGCCGCTTTCAACCTGGACGTCCATCAGCTGGACATCTCCAACGCCTTCCTCAACGGCACCCTTGATGAGATTCTCTACATGATGCAGCCTCCCGGTTATGACCTTCCGGCGGTCCATGGTGTTGAGCAAGTTTGTCTCTTGCACAAACCGCTGTACGGGTTGAAGCAAGCTCCGCGATGCTGGTACCGCAAGCTTCGTGAGGAGCTTGCTGCCTTTCACCTCTTTGCTGCTCGTGCGGACCCCGGCCTCTTCATTGCTCCTCCTCACTCACCTTATCGGCCTACAGCTGCATCCTTCTTCATGCTTCTCGTCTATGTTGACGACCTCATCATTCTCTCCTCCTCCTCCTCTTTTCTTGCCTCATTCAAGCATGCCCTTTCATCTCGCTTCAAACTTCGTGACCTCGGACCTCTCTCCTACTACCTTGGCTTTCACATCACTCGTGATCGAACTTCCCGCACTCTCCACCTTCATCAATCCAAATTCATCACCTCCATTCTAGACACCTACTCCTTCTCTCCACTGAACCCCGCTGCCACTCCCATGGACACAAAGTTTCAGCCACCCGTGACTTCCTCCCCGCACTCCTCCTCCTTCCCTTACACCTCGTTTGTCGGCTCCATCATGTATGCCATGGTGGGGACCCGTCCCGACCTCGCATATAGCGCTGGAGTTCTTGCTCGTCACCTTCACGATTGGTCTACTCCTCACGTCTCGGCTGCCAAACGCATTGCTCGCTACTTGAAAGGGACTACCTCCCTTGGGCTTCTCCTTGGTGGCATTCCCGACACCCTCGAACTTCATGGCTGGTGTGACGCCTCTTGGGGACCGGAGGGGGAGCTGCGTCGCTCCGTTACGTGCTACTTGTTCTTCCTCGGTCCGTCACTCATCTCTTGGCAGTCCAAACGCCAAGCCGTCGTTGCTACCTCTTCATGTGAAGCTGAATATTACTCTCTGGGCGCCGCGGTGCACGAGGCATTATGGCTTCGTTCGCTCTTTACTGCAGTTGGACTTCCCCCTACCGGCCCCACCCGTATCTCGTGTGACAACAACAGTGCCATCATTCTCGCCAAGGACGATGGCGTCTTTCATCCCAAGGCCAAGCACATCGACATCAAGCACCATTTCATTCGCGATCATGTTGCCGACCACTCCATCACCCTTCACTATGTTCCTACTCAAGACAACCTCGCTGACATTGGGACCAAGCCTTTGCCCCGTGACCCTTTTCTTCGCATCCGTGGTCTTCTCGGTCTCACCCATGTTTCCTCTTGAGGCACCCTACCCCGGGGACATCCTTGAGGGGGGGTGTTGTGGAAGCAAGAATGTCCCAGTGGGTACCTTTGGTCTTAGTGGTCGCGGGTTCAACTCTCATCGGCAGCACCTTCTCTTCTCATTATGCCGAACATGACACTCCCACACTCCACCACACTCACCCACAGTGAAGTGTGGTCACAGTTGGCATTACCATCTGTCCACCCATCCCATACTCACCTTGTTGGCTCCTATGGTGTGCCACATGCTGCCATGTAGGCTGTTGTTCCAGCCTGGCCCACATGTGCAACATGTGGCCTCAATTGCTAGCTTGGCAAGGTTGGCTAGCCCTGCCCTCAGCTTTGAGGTGCTGCAGCTAGCCTCAAGAGTTCAGCCACATAAATGTGGCTTCCCACTTCTCTAGAACTCATCCTTGGAAAGGACATTGCTCTAGCCTTTCAGGCTTGTACCATCTTCCTACTAAGGATATATTGTTCTTCTCTCATTGTGCCTCAAGTTCACCGATCCTCATTCTACACGCCCTGCCATGGCAGAAGCTCAGCGGCAACACTAGCGCAGTGGAGAGCGCTTCGATGAGCAGTCATTGTGCATGTTCCTCTTGCCGTCTACTCACCGCCTCTATCTACATTCTCTCTCTCCATCCACATTCCTGTCTACGCATCCACACCTGCTGAACCATGGCAGAAACTGAGTGGCAACACCAGCGCCGTGGAGAGCACGCTTTGCGCCCAATGCACTTTCGCTCACTGCCTTTTCGCTCACTGCTGTTTCTCTCCATCCACAACTCTACCTCTCCACTTGTCTCTGCCATCCCATGGCAGAAGCTGAGTGGCAACACCAGCGCCGTGGAGAGCACGCTGCTGAGCAGTCTCTGCGCCCAATGCACTTTCGCTCACTGCCTTTTCGCTCACTGCTGTTTCTCTCCATCCACATCTCTACCTGTCCACCCGTCTCTGCCATCCCATGGCAGAAGCTGAGTGGCAATACCAGCGCCGTGGAGAGCACGCTGCTGAGCAGATCAGAGGACCAGGCGATCTCGGGCGTGTTCAGTGGATCTGTGAAGCTGTGGGACCTCAACGAGGGCAAAGGTGAGGCATGCACTATGAAGATTATTAGGACTGACCGCAACGAGGACATACTATCCCACAGTCAAGCTGTGGGACCTCAACGAGGGCAGTGCGCTACTGAGCAGATCGGAGGACCAGGGTTTCTCGGGGGTGCTGAGTGGCTCTGTGAAGCTGTGGGACCTCAACGAGGGCAAAGGTGGGTGGGCCATTTGAGTGACTCTAATCGGGACGTGCGCTGCTGAGCAGATCAGAGGACCAGGCGGTCTCAGGCGTGCTCAGTGGATCTGTGATGTGAAGCTATGGGACCTCAACGAGGGCAAAGGTGAGGCACGCTCTGTGAAGCTTACCAGGACTGACTGTGAGGCGGGCGGGCCAAAGGTGAGGCATCAAATTGTGGAGCTAGCAAGTGGAGAGTGCGCTGCTGAGCAGATCAGAGGACCAGGCGATCCCGGGCGTGCTCAGTGGATCTGTGAAGCTGTGGGACCTCAACGAGGGCAAAGGTGAGGCAACCACGCACTGTGTGTGAAGCTCAGTGTGTTCGTGAAGCTAGCGAGAGAAGAGAGCGCCGCTGAGCAGATCAGAGGACCAGGCGATCCCGGGCGTGCTCAGTGGATCTGTGAAGCTGTGGGACCTCAACGAGGGCAAAGGTGAGGCAACCACGCACTGTGTGTGAAGCTCAGTGTGTTCGTGAAGCTAGCGAGAGAAGAGAGCGCCGCTGAGCAGATCAGAGGACCAGGCGATCCCGGGCGTGCTCAGTGGATCTGTGAAGCTGTGGGGCCTCAACGAGGGGGAAAGTGCGAGCCTTTTAGAGTGAAGATCTTTGGGACTAATTGGAACTAGGGCAAACTACCCCACATTCTAGCTGTGGTTGCAGTGTCTGTGCCAGCACAAAACCAAATGAGTCGTGCACTGCCAGGGTGTGGGACCTGCAGCGGAGGGAGCCGGCTGGCAGGGTCATATCTCTTGACCTCTACCCACCTGTCGCCCTGCTTCTCATGACAAGCCTTTCCTTCCCCCAACCCAACCCGACCTCCCCCAACCCCCCCACACCTCCCCCAGCCGGGCCACCGGGGGTTCAGCCATTGCTCTGAACTCCTCCCACGCAGCTGTTTCCTTTTCCTCTGCTTCATCCCCCATCTCCCCCTCCCCACCCCAACCCCCTCCCTCCACCACCCACCCTCACCAGCCGTGCGCACCTTGACAGGTCACAGGGGGTCGGCTGTCTTGCTGGACGTCCGCCCGCGTGATTCCTTCCATGCCCCACCCCACCTGACTTTTGAGTCGACTCAAAAGTCACCTTGTGCGCACCCTGACAGGTCACAGGGGGTTGATTGCCTTGCCAGACGTCCGCCCACGTGATTCCTTCCATGCCCCACCCTACATTCTCTTCCCTTCCTTTCCTCCCCCCCCCCACACGCACTCACACCAGCCGTGCGCACCCCAACGGGCCACAGGGTTTGTTTGTCTCATTGGACCCCTCTCGCCCTGCTTCTCATAACCCGCCCACCGCCCCCAACACCTTCCCCTCCCCGGGCACCCCCCCACCCTCACCCAACCTCCCCCAGCCGTGCACACGCTGACGGGTCACAGGGAGTCAGCCCTCTCGCTGGACTTCCTGCCCTCTGTTACTCTATGCCCTCTTCTCCCCCCATCCCCCCCACTCCCCCCACCCCTCCAAACACACACACCCACACCAGCTGTGCGCACCCTAACAGGCCATTGGTCGGCCCTCTCGCTGGACTTCCACCCCTTTGAGCCCAACAGCCTGGTCCCCTGCCAATGTTCCTCCCCCCTCCACTGCAACCCCTCCCACACCAGCCGTGCGCACCCTGACGGGCCACAGGGGGTCGGCCCTCTCGCTGGACTTCCACCCCTTTGAACCGTTCTTCGCGTCGGGTTCCCAGGATTCGACTGCCCGCGTGTGGGACCCCAGGCAGAAGGAGGCGGTGCATACTCTGAAGAACCATGGCAAGGGTGTGGCGTGTGTGCGGTTCAGCCCTGATGGGCAGTGGCTGATGACAGGCGGGCAGGACTCGGTGATCAAGGTGAGGTGGGGCAGGGGAAAGGAGGGGGGGAAGATAGGGATAGAAGGGCGAAGGCAGAGGTACGCAGTGCATACTCTGAAGAACCACGGCAGGGGCGTGGCGTGTGTGCGGTTTAGTCCGGATGGGCAGTGGCTGATGACAGGCGGGTAGGACTCGGTGATCAAGGTGAGGGGGGGGGAAGAAACGCAGGGGAAGGGAGGGAAGGGAGATGTGGATAGAAGGGCGAAGACATAAAGTGGCGGTGCACGTGCTAAAAAACCATGGGAAGGGCGTGGCGTGTGTGCGGTTTAGTCCGGATGGGCAGTGGCTGATGACTGGCGGACAGGACTCGGTGATCAAGGTGAGGGGGAGGGAGGGAGGAACATAGGAGGGAGGAGGGAAAGGGATGAACGAGTGGAGGAAGGGGAAGGCAAGGCAGAAGGTGCTGGCAGACAAATTGCTTGCTGCACTCGTTGGCTTTTGAGGCGCCTCAAAAATGCTGGCAGGCAAGTTGGTGACTTTTGAGTCGTCTCAAAAGTCACCTCGTTACTATGGCAGAAGATAGATGCTGGCAGGCAAGTTGGTGACTTTTGTCACCGATTATGCACGGTTGTGCATATAAGGTGCCAGTGAGGCTGTGGTGTAGTGTGGGGTGTAGCATTACCGAATATGAACATTTGGGGTGTAGGTAGTTGGGAACCAGGGAGAGTGTCGCGAAGTTGGTAGGAGAGCTCCGAGGGGTGCAATCCAAGGAACCAATGCGAATGAACCAAGCCAGGCTCGAGGCGCACATTGAGAAATGCACGCTTCGAGCCAGGGACAGGTAAATTCACTAACACACACTCCCTCGTTGCTTTTCTCTTGTTATTCTTTCATATAGTGGATCGTTGTTACCTTCATCCTACGGCTAGGTGACACACCACTCAGGGAGGACCCTTGAGGTGGGAGCTTTGTCTCTTTCATAACAAGAGAAAAGGAGGAGTGCGTGCGTGCAAGGATGGACGAGTATGAGCTGCGCTATGGCAGGACGTATGGTCATCGCGAGGAGGATCGCGCATGGCGCGGACACTCGCGTGAGCGTGGGCGATCGCTGGAGAGATCGCCGCGGAGGCCTGCCTTTCGCGCGGATCAGGTGCCTCTCGCGTACGAGCGGCGAGCGGGCGGATCCGCACGAGAAGGAGCGGGCGGATCGGGATCGGCCCTGGCGGACAGTGATCCGTGGCGGACGGAACCGCGCCACAGAGCGGGGGGCGATCGTGGGTATCGTCAGGAGACGGGAGCGTACCGCTCGCCGGAAGCAAGCTACCGCCGTCGCGAGGATCGGAGCCGCAGGCGAGGCTTGGAGGAACTGTTTTCGGGCCGAGAGGGAGACCTCAATGCTGACGGAGAAGGAGTGGACGAGAGCACGGACTCGTCGCAGGGAGTCGAGCGCGACGACGTGGCCGATGTTGGCGGCGGAGTCCAGGAGGAGGGCGCAAGCGAGCAGCACGACATGCCTGCGGAAGCAACGGAGGCAAACCCTGCTAAGGCAGGCGAGGCGGAGGAGACAGCCGGAAGTGGCACCGTACGAAGCGCGCGTGAGGAAGCGCCCGTTTCTGGACAGCAGGCGCACGGCGGGGAGCAGGGCGGCCACGCGTCGCGCGCGCCAGACCCGCGCCAGCAGAATGACGGAGAGCGGGGAAGCGGTCCGCGCGCGCCAGATCTGCGCCCGCACCATAACGAAAGGCGGGGAGGCAGGTCGCGTTCGCCTGAGTCACGTCAGCATCGTGATGGGAGATGGGGAGACAGGTCGCGTTCGCCGGATTCAGGGAGGCATCACAGCGGGAGACGGGAAGACGGATCGCGCTCGCCAGATCCGTGGAAGAATCGCAGCAGGAGGCAGGGAGGCGGATCGCGCTCGCCGGATTCGTGGAGGAATCGCAGTGGGAGGCGGGGAGACGAGTCGCGCTCGCCGGATCCGCGTCAGCAGCATCACGGAGCGCGGGGAAGCGGGTCACGCTCGCCGGATCGGCGCCAGCGCCACGAAGGGAGGTGTGGGGGCGAATCGCGCTCGCCAGCTGCGTATCGCTACCATGACGGGAAGCGGGGAAATGGGCCACGCTCGCCAGATCTGCGCAAGTACCAGGAGAGGAAGTGGGAAGGCGAGTCAAGCTCGCCAGATCGGCACCAAGAACGGGGTATGAGCTGGGGAAGCGAGCGTCGCTCGCTGGATCCGCGTACGCGGCGTGACGAGAGACATGGAGACGGGCAACGCTCGCCAGAACGTGATCTGCAGCAAGGACAGAGAGGGAGATGGGAGGAGGAGTGGCGTCACCGAGACCAACGTTATGGGCGGGAGGGAAGGAGAGCTCCCCGTTCCCCGACACCTGAGAAGTGCTTGCGGCACCAAGGGCGAAGGGAAGAGTGGACGCGGGCAAGTTACTCACCAGATCGGCGAGGGAGGAAGGGTGAGGAGGAAAGGCGATGGGAAGCAAGGCAGGGTCAGCACAGAAGCAAAGGTGTAGGCAGCGGTCTGGCATATAGCATGGAGCGCGCCAGAGAAGCAAGGAAGGGGATCGAGCGAGCCAGAGGAGGAGGAAGGTTAGGGAGGCAGGAAAGGGGAGCAAGTGAGTCTTGGGGTGAGGGGCGTGGAAGTGCAGCGATGGCCACACGGGTGGAAGTGCCGGCGCGGTTCTCAGGAGACCAGCGCGTGGGGCCTACACTGAAGAATTATTTGATGCAAGTGGGAAATGTGAGATATAGGTGTGAGCGGAGCGGCATGGATGCGGTGGATTTCTTCCTAAGCCTGCCTAATACACTGGAGGGGGAGGCAGAGACGTTGTACAGAATGAAGATGGATGAATTACTTGAGAGGGCGGGCAGGTACGGGGAAGACCCTACAGAGGCATTTCTGAGGCGGCTGCAGCGGCAGTTTCCCGGGCATACGGCAGAAAAGATAAGGGAATTTCAGGAGTTCCGAAGGGGGAGGAGTGAGTCATTGCTCACCTATTACAACCGGCTGATCAACCTGGCAGAGGACGTGACGTGTGGAGACATGGGCCTGTTGGTCAGCAAGTTCTTGGACGGGCTGGACAACACCATGGGAACTGGGCTGCGCATGAAGGTGTATGAGATGGGGGCAGACACAACGCTGGATGAGGTATTCGAGTTGGCAGAAAAGATGGAGCTGGCACAGAGAAAGTATGAGGCATATCGACCCAGGACCATGGAGCGAGGCCGAGGGCCGACTTGGGCAGCAGCGATCATACCTGAAGAGAAAGACAAGGCAGTGGGTCGAGGAGAGAGTAGGCCAGAGACACGGACATGCCACAGATGCGGACAGCCAGGGCACATTCGCAAGGACTGCAAAAACTGCGACAGTTGCGGGAAACCAGGGCACCGGCGACGGGAATGCCCTGAAGCACCGAAGTGTGAAATCTGTGGAAGAGGTGGACATGCAGCAAAGGACTGTTACCAGCGAGAGGGAGCAGCAAAGAAGAAGCTGGAGGAGCAGGAGAAGCAGATCAGCCGGCTGCAAGCGCAGCTGCAGGCATTGGGACCGCAACGTGAAGCAGAGGCAGGGATGTATGCCAGGGATGAGGAGGAGGAAGATGTAGCACAGGAAGAGCAGGGCGCACTTATGGCGTGGGGAGTGAGGGAGGATGATGAGGTAGACCATGAGGAGCAACATGCATACATGGCATGGAGAGGGAGAGAAGAGATGGGGCTGCGCAGCGGAGGCAAGGATGGGCGAAGGGAACAGGTGAGGAAGGAGCGGGAAAAGGGGCAAAAGCCGGAAAATAAGGAAGAGAGATGCACAGCTGCACGTCACCCGCAGGAGCGGCTGGCATGTCAAACATCGGTGCTGCTGATTCAGAATGGAGCGCTGGCGGTAGAAGGGGAGAAGGCAAAGACAGCCATCATAGACACCGGAGCACAGAGTGTTATACTAGGGAAGGGGATGGCCGAGAAGCTGGGACTGTGGGCACCAGACAGACATGTGATGAAGGGGATGCTAGTGATGACAGCAGAGGGAGGAGAGTCAAAATGGATGCCCTGCACGAGGACTCCGATAGAACTAGCGGTGCTGAAAGGGGAGAAGCATGAGACGCCTGTCAGAATCAGATGCGGGATTTCAGAATCAGAAGACTTTGATGTGCTGATGGGCACGGAGATGATTTTTGCCTTGGGCATGACTATCTGCTTTTGGAAAGAGACGGTGGAGTTCCGAACTAGGTGGTGGAGGAAGGGTGAACCGCTAGGGCAGCTGCCGGTGCAGTTCGTGAAGACTGAGCCAAAGAGAGCCTACCGTGTGGATCAGAAGAAGGTGACAGCGAAGCAGGGGGCACAAGAGCAAGTGGTGGGCAGAGGAAAGGGCAGAGAGCCTAGGATGCGCCTCATGGATGAGCCTAGCCAACAGACCGATTGGCAGCAACCCATCAGACTGGTGGAACTGTTCGGGGGAATAGGGGCGGGAGTGGCAGCAGTGGTGCGGAATGGAATAGCGGTGAAACAGTGGATCTACGTGGAGCAGGCAGCAGAAGTGAGGAAAATGGCGGAACACCATGCGTGGGAGCTGCATAGGGAGTATCCGGAGCTGCTGGGGGGAGACGTGATCAAGGTAGCGATGAGCAGAGGAGTGAACGATGTAAGAGCAATCACGGAAGCTGAAGTGGCCAGCTGGGGGCACGTGGACCTGCTGGTGGCAGGGTGGGAATGCCAAGGAGTATCATGGGCGGGAAAGGGTAAGGGTGAGCTAGACCCCAGGACCAAACTGATGGAGGATTTGTTCAGGATCATGGAGTGGGTGCAAGCTAGGCAGGGCAGACTGGCCTACCTGCTGGAACACTTGGACATGGAAGGAGATGTCCGGGAACCAGTAAGGTTGGTAAGGGAGAGAGTGACAAGGCAGGTGGGCAAAGGGGTGAGCAGCGACGCGGTGCGAATGGGAGCTTATGCACACCGGCTCAGGATGTACTGGCAGAATGTGGTGCCGGTGGAAGATCTGCAAAGGGAGATAGAGGGGGTGCAGAGGGCAGAGGGGCGGAGGGTGAGCGACATACTGGAGCCAGGAAGAACTCCAGCACCAGTGAACAAGAGGAGTTACAGCAGACACTATCCGTGCAACCAGGTGGGACAAGAGAGGCAAGCATTACCAACCTTGGTGTCCTATGAGGGGGCAGCAGGATATCGGATGGATGGGGAACAGCCGGGCCCAGGACTTGTGCTTGACCATAGGAAGGGACGGTGGGAAGAACCCACGGCCTTGGAGAGGGAGCTGGCCATGGGGTACAAGGAGAATGCCACAGCAGCCCCGGGAGTGAGTGAGAAGGAAAGAAGGCGGGCATTAGGGAACGCTATGGATGGGTACATGATGAGATGGCTGGTGCAGCGGATGTGGAAAGAGACAGTACTGCACTGGGGACTGAAAGAAGGAGAAAACACAGTAGCAACAGTCAGACAAGGGGTGTGGGCCTGCCTGCAGAAAGAGGAGCCAGAGTGGAGGATAGGTGAGAACATGAGCGAGGAAGGGAAGACAGCAATGCGAGCAGTGCTGGCCAAACATCGGAGGGGCTTCGCCTTCACCCTGCAGGAGTTGGGGAAGTGCAACATCAAAGAGATGGCACTGAAGCTGAGTAGTGATGAGCCGGTATTCCACCGCAGGAGGAAGATGCCACCAGGGGATGAAGCGATCTGCAGGGAGAAGATAAAGGAGCTGCTGGAAGCCGGACTGATTCGGAGATCAGAGTCCGAATACGCCACCCCAACCGTGGTGGCAGCCAGGAAGGACTTGACTGGAGAGGTGCTGAGCAGGAGAATGTGCGGGGATTACAGGGATCTCAACAAAATCACAGTGCCGGATAGATACCCCATGCCGATGGCGGAAGAACTGTTTGACAAGTTGGCCGACGGGGTGTTCTTCACGACGCTGGACTTGCGGCAGGGATTCAATCAAATCAAGATCAGGGAGGAGGATGTAAAGAAAACGGCCTTCCATGGACCAGATGGGTTGTACGAGTGGCTGTATATGCCCTTCGGTCTAAGAAACGCATCGGCAGTGTTCCAGAGAGTCATGGATGCGGTGCTGAGGGGAATAGAACATGCGGCATGCTACATCGATGATGTAGTGATCTTCAGCCTGACCGAACAGCAGCACCTGGAGGACGTGGAGAAGACACTGGCGGCCATAGAAGGGGCAGGGCTCACATGCCATCCCAACAAATGCAGATGGGGGGAGCGGACAGTGCAGTACCTGGGGTATGAGGTCAAAGGGGGGCAGATTGGGATCCAGCAAGCGAAAGTGCAGGTGCTGGACAGGCTGAGGGAACCCAGAGACAAGTCCGGGCTGCGGGCGGTCTTGGGCTTCCTCAGCTATTACAGACGCTTCGTGCCGAACTTCAGCAAGAGAGCAACGGTGCTGAATGGGATGCTGCGGGAAGACAAGGCATGGGAGTGGGGAGAGAAGCAGAGGGAGGCACTGCAAGACCTGATGACCGCTGTGAAGACGGCAACAGTACTGCGGCTGCCGGCAGCAGACCAGCCCTTTGTTCTCTACACTGACTGGAGCAGTCAGGGGATGGGGGCAATACTGTGTCAGGAGGTAGAGGGAGTGGAGAAGGTAGTGGCCTACGCCAGCAGGAGCTGCAACCCGGCTGAGGCACAGTACAGCTCATACATCGGGGAGGGGCTGGCGGCGGTGTGGGCAGTGGGGCATTTCAGAGTATATCTACAAGGGAGAGAGTTCACTCTGGTCACTGACCATCAGCCCCTCACATGGCTGATGACCACACCAGGGCTAACAGGCAGGAACGCAAGGTGGGCAGTAAAGCTACAGGAGTATGACTTTAAGATAAGGCATAGGCCGGGAAAGACACTACAGCACGTCGACGGTCTCTCCCGCAACCCACCACCACTGGAGACGGAACGGAAGGCGGCAGAGGCGGAACAGACAGAGCGGGAGCCAGCGCATACCTTAATTCTACTGGCGCGAGAGGTGGAGCAGAACGGTGCGAAGGGGAGTAAGGGGCCAGCTGACATTTGGCAGGATGCAAAGGCGATGGGATGGGTGAAGGGAGAGACCGAGGAAGATGAGACAGTATCTGAAAGGGTGAGGGCACGAGGGCATCACTACAGGTGGTTTCAACAGCAGCTGCAGATAAAAACAGAGGATGGCTGGAAGCTGGTGCCGGCGCCAGAGGAGCGTGAAGCAGTGATCAGGGAAGTGCACACTAAGCTGGGGCATTTCGGGCATGAGAGGACCGTACACCTGCTGAAAACGGGCTGGTGGTGGGAAGGGATGCGCAGGCAAGTGAAAGAGTGGGTAGAAGGGTGCGAGGCTTGTCAGAGGAGTAAGGCGAACCTCACGCAGGCCAAGGCAGAACTGCAGTCACTGCCCATCTGCGGCTTGGGATTTCGGTGGTCCCTGGACCTGGCGGGAGAGCTGCCGCTGAGCAGGAGTGGGAACCAGTACATAGTGCTCATGATTGAGCATGTGAGCAAGTGGCTGGAGGTGCGAGCCATCCCTAGCAAGAGCGCAAGGCACATAGCAGCGGCATTCAAGGCCCAGGTGGTGTGTCGATTCGGAGCCTGCGGGGAGGTACTCACGGATCAGGGCACAGAATTCCAGGGAGAGTTTAAGAAGTTGCTGCTGGAATCTGGCATCACGCACCGACGAACCTCCCGCTACCACCCACAAAGCGACGGGCTCACTGAGCGCATAGTACAGACCATCAAGCGAGGGCTACGGACCTACGGGGAGCAGAGAAGGAGGGACTGGGATGAGGAGTTGGACTGGATAGCAGCTGGATACAGATTCGGGAAGCAGGCAGCACTGAGGGATCATTCCCCATACAGCCTACTCTATGGACGAGAGCCAATTCTGCCAGTGGGGGCACCAAGGGTACTGACAGACACAGTAACAGCAGGCACGATCAAGAACTGGGTAGCCCTGTCCGACGTGAGGGCACGCTACATGCGCTTCATGATGCCAGCCGCGCTAGAGAACCTGCACACCGCTCAGCTGCGAGATGCCAGGAGATATGAACAGAGGCAACGCAAGGGAGAAGGGAGAGGGGCACGTGGCGTATGTGAGGGGCAGGAAGTGTATCTGAAGAGAGCGAAGCAGGATACTCTCGATGTGGGGTTGGGGACAGTGCGGTGGAAGGTCAAGGAGGTGCGCCCCTCTGGGGTGCTGGTCTTGGAAAACGACAAGGGGGCACAGTTGAAGGAACACCAGACGAATACCGCTGTCATTAGGGGGACAGGGCCTCAGCGTCATGGTCCTGTGACCCGTGCTCAAGCTGCACAAGCGCGGGCACAGGAGGGGGCAGGGAGTGGCTGAGGCAACACAAGAAGCTTCAGGGAGGAAGGGAGTCAGAACGAAGGCAGGTGGCAGGCAAAGCTGTTTCTCCGACAGCTGTCACCGATTATGCACGGTTGTGCATATAAGGTGCCAGTGAGGCTGTGGTGTAGTGTGGGGTGTAGCATTACCGAATATGAACATTTGGGGTGTAGGTAGTTGGGAACCAGGGAGAGTGTCGCGAAGTTGGTAGGAGAGCTCCGAGGGGTGCAATCCAAGGAACCAATGCGAATGAACCAAGCCAGGCTCGAGGCGCACATTGAGAAATGCACGCTTCGAGCCAGGGACAGGTAAATTCACTAACACACACTCCCTCGTTGCTTTTCTCTTGTTATTCTTTCATATAGTGGATCGTTGTTACCTTCATCCTACGGCTAGGTGACACACCACTCAGGGAGGACCCTTGAGGTGGGAGCTTTGTCTCTTTCAGGGCAGGGAGTGGCTGAGGCAACACAAGAAGCTTCAGGGAGGAAGGGAGTCAGAACGAAGGCAGGTGGCAGGCAAAGCTGTTTCTCCGACACTTTTGAGTCGTCTCAAAAGTCACCTCGTTACTATGGCAGAAGATGCTGGCAGGCAAGTTGGTGACTTTTGAGTCGTCTCAAAAGTCACCTCGTTACTATGGCAGAAGATGCTGGCAGGCAGATTGCTTGCTGCACTCGTTGGCACCCGGGGTGAATTTCCTGACTCTATCCTGCTCAACCTATCCCTACCCCACCTTCGTGAAATGAGCCGTGTTTTGAGTCGACTCAAAATCAAAACACGGCTTTTTTCCTGACTTCATCCTTCCCAACCGTTCCCTCCCCCACCCTCTCTCCTTCCCCTTGCAAGCAGCTATGGGTCGTGCAGGCGGGCAAGGTGCTACACGAGTTCAAGCACCACCATGGCGCCATCACCTGCCCCTGCCTCACCTTTCACTCTTTGCTGCTTTCCTTGTGCTTGCATCCCTACCCCCACCTCTCTCCTGCAGCTGTGGGACGTGCAGGCGGGCAAGGTGCTCCACGAGTTCAAGCACCCTCCCCTGCCTTGCCCTTACCTCCTCTGCATCTCCTCCCATCTCCCCCTCCCCCTCTCTCACAGCTGTGGGACGTGCAGGCAGGCAAGGTGCTGCACGAGTTCAAGCACCACCACGACGCCGTCACCTGCCTCACCTTCCACCCACACGAGCTGCTGCTTGCTAGCTGTAAGAGGCTCTGTTATCCTGCTTTTGATATCTAGGCCTCCACCCGTTGTCACCTGCCTCACTCTCCACCCACACGAGCTGCTGCTCGCCTCGTGTCAGTGCTGCCCTCTCCCCTTGTGCCTTCTGAGAGAGTGTGCTCTGTACTGCCCGTCCAAGCACCGCCACGATGCCGTCACCTGCCTCACTCTCCACCCGCACGAGCTGCTGCTCGCTTCCTGTCAGTTCCGCCCGTCCCTGCTTCCCCTCGCCTACATGCCTGCCGTGAGTGCCTGTCAGCTCCTCCCCTCCTGTCAGTGCCTGTCCACCCTGCTCTCATGATAACAAATCGTGCCCTTTGCTCCGAGGCACGTACGTATCCTGCTTCCTTGCCCTTCCCCCTTGCTCTAAGTGTACCTCTAACTTGACTTGTGCATGTGTGCATGTGTCTGGGTTTGTGTGCATGTGTTTGATTGAATGTGTGTGCCTGTGTTTACATGTGTGCATGCGTGTGCATGTGTGGATGTTCGAATGTGTGTGCCTGTGTTTACATGTGTGCATGCGTGTGCATGTGTGGATGTTCGAATGTGTGTGCCTGTGTTTACATGTGTGCATGCGTGTGCATGTGTGGATGTTCGAATGTGTGTGCATGTGTACATGTGTGCATGTGTGCTTGTGTGCCCATCTGTGTGCATGCATGCACCAGGCTCCAGTGACCGCACATGTAAGTTCTGGGACCTGGAGACGTTCGAGCTGGTGGGGTCTACAGGCACAGAGGTATGTTTCTGGTGGCGGTAGCAGGAGTGTAGATAGGGCACGTAGGTATGTCTAACTGTGCGCGAACATGGGTGCCCATGCACCAGGCTCCAGTGACCGCACGTGCAAGTTCTGGGACCTGGAGACGTTCGAGCTGGTGGGGTCTACGGGCACAGAGTTATGTTTCTGGCAGCTCCTACTAACACCCTTCTGCTCTCACCACTAATATCACTTGCACATGCAAGTTCTGGGACCTAGAGACTTTTGAGCTGGTGGGGTCTACAGGCACGGAGGTAGGGTAACAAGGGGTGGAGATGGGTGCTCATGTGTGTATATGTGTGCAGTGCACATGCGCCAGGCTCCAGGGACCTGGAGACATTCGAGCTGGTGAGGTCCACAGGCACGGAGGTGCGTTGATGGTGGCGGTGGCAGAAGTGTAGATTGGGCATGTAGGTATGTTTAACTGTGCGCGCACATGCGTCCATGTGCATGCACCAGGCTCCAGTGACCGCAAGTGCAAGTTCTGGGACCTGGAGACGTTCGAGCTGGTTGGGTCCACAGGCACGGAGGTATGTCTACCTGTGTGTGTGCATGTGTGCACATGCGCATGTGTGCATGTGTGCATGTGTGCATGTGTGCATGTGTGCATGTGTGCATGTGTGCATGTGTGCATGTGTGCATGTGTGCACATGCGCATGTGTAGGCATAGAGGTGTGTGATTGTTGGGCTGCACAGGCACAGAGGTAGGGTAGAAAGGGGAGGAGGTGGGTCAAGAGAAGAGTTAGGGTAAGAGAAGTGGAGGTGGGGTAAGAGGAGCAGAGGCAGGGAAAGAGGAGCAGAGGCAGGGAAAGAGGAGCAGAGGCAGGGAAAGAGGAGCAGAGGCAGGGAAAGAGGAGCAGAGGCAGGGAAAGAGGAGCAGGGACGAACAGCCTGGTTGAATACACACGGCGAAACTCTCTCCCACTAAAACCTCAAGTCTGCATCCTGTTGTGCCCCTGTTTATCCCTGTTTTCCGCTGTTTGCCCATATACCCTTGTGTGCCCCTGTTTACCCCTGTGTATCCCTGTGTATCCCTGTGTCCCCCTGTGCCCCTCTGTTCTACTCTCTGGCCCTACACGTGTCTCTACTGTGTGCCTTGCCTTACACTGCAGGCCAATGGCATGCGATCGCTAGCCTTCACTCCTGATGGCCAAGCGCTGCTAGCGCCCTCTGCTGACTCGCTCAAGGTGGGTTCCGTGTTGCTTGCTACTGCCATCTACCTTGCCTCTCCTCCTGAAGGCCAATGGCATGCGATTGCTAACCTTCACTCCTGATGGCCAAGCGCTGCTAGCGCCCTCTGCTGACTCGCTCAAGGTGGGTTCCGTGCTGCTTGCTACTGCCATCTACCTTGCCTCTCCTCCTGAAGGCCAATGGCATGCGATTGCTAACCTTCACTCCTGATGGCCAAGCGCTGCTAGCGCCCTCTGCTGACTCGCTCAAGGTGGGTTCCGTGTTGCTTGCTACTGCCATCTACCTTGCCTCTCCTCCTGAAGGCCAATGGCATGCGATTGCTAACCTTCACTCCTGATGGCCAAGCGCTGCTAGCGCCCTCTGCTGACTCGCTCAAGGTGGGTTCCGTGTTGCTTGCTACTGCCATCTACCTTGCCTCTCCTCCTGAAGGCCAATGGCATGCGATTGCTAACCTTCACTCCTGATGGCCAAGCGCTGCTAGCGCCCTCTGCTGACTCGCTCAAGGTGGGTTCTGTGTTGCTTGCTACTGCCATCTACCTTGCCTCTCCTCCTGAAGGCCAATGGCATGCGATTGCTAACCTTCACTCCTGATGGCCAAGCGGTGCTAGCGCCCTCTGCTGACTCGCTCAAGGTGGGTTCCGTGCTGCTTGCTACTGCCATCTACCTTGCCTCTCCTCCTGAAGGCCAATGGCATGCGATCGCTAGCCTTCACTCCTGATGGCCAAGCGCTGCTAGCGCCCTCTGCTGACTCGCTCAAGGTGGGTTCTGTGTTGCTTGCTACTGCCATCTACCTTGCCTCTCCTCCTGAAGGCCAATGGCATGCGATTGCTAACCTTCACTCCTGATGGCCAAGCGCTGCTAGCGCCCTCTGCTGACTCGCTCAAGGTGGGTTCCGTGTTGCTTGCTACTGCCATCTACCTTGCCTCTCCTCCTGAAGGCCAATGGCATGCGATCGCTAGCCTTCACTCCTGATGGCCAAGCGCTGCTAGCGCCCTCTGCTGACTCGCTCAAGGTGGGTTCCGTGTTGCTTGCTACTGCCATCTACCTTGCCTCTCCTCCTGAAGGCCAATGGCATGCGATTGCTAGCCTTCACTCCTGATGGCCAAGCGCTGCTAGCGCCCTCTGCCGACTCACTCAAGGTGGGTGCTGTGCTGCTTGCTACAATCTGCCGTGCCTCCATTGCAGGCCAGTGGCATGCGCTCACTAGCCTTCACTCCTGATGGCCAAGCGCTGCTAGCTCCCTCCGCTGACTCGCTCAAGGTGGGTTCCGTGTTGCTTGCTACTGCCATCTACCTTGCCTCTCCTCCTGAAGGCCAATGGCATGCGATCGCTAGCCTTCACTCCTGATGGCCAAGCGCTGCTAGCGCCCTCTGCTGACTCGCTCAAGGTGGGTTCCGTGTTGCTTGCTACTGCCATCTACCTTGCCTCTCCTCCTGAAGGCCAATGGCATGCGATTGCTAGCCTTCACTCCTGATGGCCAAGCGCTGCTAGCGCCCTCTGCCGACTCACTCAAGGTGGGTGCTGTGCTGCTTGCTACAATCTGCCGTGCCTCCATTGCAGGCCAGTGGCATGCGCTCACTAGCCTTCACTCCTGATGGCCAAGCGCTGCTAGCTCCCTCCGCTGATTCCCTCAAGGTGAGACGTCCGCAGGCCGGCCGCGTTGAGATGCTCTCTGCTGCTTGCTCGCTCTGCCGACTCGCTCAAGGTGCGCATTGCTTGCTCTGCTAGTGCCAGCTGTCTCCTTTTCGTCTCCTGGTCCTTTGATTTTCTCGATTCTTTTTGTGTCCTTTACCTCCTGTCGCCCCTAGCAATAAACTTCTCCACATCTTTGCTTTCTTTGCCCACATGTTCCCTCTTGCGTTCTCCAACCATCGGCATGTGTGGGTGGGAGCTTGTGCGGTTGCTCTTCGGATCACCTCCTTGCTTCCCATCCGCAGGTGTGGGTGTGGTGTGGGAGCCGACTTTACTTTTGTGTCGACTCAAAAGAGTGGACTTTTGAGTCGACTCAAAAGAGTTGACTTTTGAGTCGACTAAAAAGTCAACTCGTGTGGTTGCTCTTCGGATCACCTCCTTGCTTCCCACCCGCAGGTGTGGGTGTGGTGTGGGAGCCTGTGCGCTGCTTCGACACGGTCAGCGTGGGGTGGTGAATGGTGGTAGAAACACCCCTCAGTCCCAACCCATCCTCTTCACCTCTCTTCACCTCTCTTCTCCTCTCTCCCGCAGGTGTGGGGGTGGGAGCTTGTGCGCTGCTTCGACACGGTCAGTGTGGGATGGTCCAAGGTGGCTACAGACACGCCTCATTCCCACCCCATCCTCTTCACCTCTTTTGACCTCTCTTCACCTCTCTCCACCACTTCACCTCCCATCCGCAGGTGTGGGGGTGGGAGCCCGTGCGCTGCTTCGACACGGTCAGCGTGGAGTGGTCCAAGATCGTTAGGGACGCGCCTCATTTCCACCCCATCCTCTTCACCTCCCTTCACCTCTCTCCACCACGTCACACTCTCTTCACCTCTCTCTACCTATTCACCTCTCTCTGCAGGTGTGGGTGAGGGAGCTTGTGCGCTGCTTCGACACTGTCAGTGTGGGATGGTGGACGGTGCGAGAAACACCACTCTTTCCCTCCCCATCCTCCCCACCTCTCTTCACCTCACTCCACCACTTCACGTTCTCTCATCCTCCCATCCCTTGCAGGTGTGGGGGTGGGAGCCCGTGCGCTGCTTCGACACGGTCAGCGTGGGATGGTCCAAGGTAGCTGACGTCAGCATTCACGACGGCAGGCTGTATGGCGCCTCGTTCTCGCACACCTGCGTCAGCCTGTGGCACGTCGACCTCATGGTATGGCACCAAGTATAAAGTGCATGCTTCATGTCATTCTGTGCCTGTGTATAGCCCATTGTACAACGTTTCCCCATATAGCAGCAGGCTGTATGGCGCCTCCTTCTCGCACACCTACGTCAGCCTGTGGCACGTCGACCTCATGGTATGTGCTGCCATGGTGCAAGTCTCATTGCTGTATGGGCTTTGACGCACTTCGAGTCCTTCTCGCACACCTGCGTCAGCCTGTGGCACGTGGACGTCATGGTATGGTGCTGCCATGGTATGGTATAGTAATGGTACCACGTTCCCCTCAATAGCAGCAGGCTGTAGGAGGCCTCCTTTTCACACGCCTGCGTCAGCCTGTGGCACGTCGACCTCATGGTATGGCGGTGTGGTGCTGCTATGCTGTCATCTCATGCACGGTGCTGCCATGCCATGGTATGGTAATGGTACTACGTTTCCCTCAATAGCAGCAGGCTGTAGGAGAGGAGGCCTCCTTCGCCCACACCTGCGTCAGCCTGTGGCACGAGGACCTCATGGTATGGCATGCTTTTATGGTACGACGTTTTGCCCCGGTTGTCCCCTCCAGCAAGTGGCACCATTTGGATCTAGTGCCTCTGAGAGCACGGAGGAAGGAAGAGAGGAGCCTCTCAGGGACCACCATGGGGCTGCCCCTGCCTGCCTCGCCCTCTGCCTCTACCCTATCTTATCCTCCCTGTTTTTCCCCGGTTGTCCCCTCCAGCAAGTGGCGCCGTTTGGATCTAACGCCTCTGAGAGCACGGAGGAGGGGAGCAGCCTGTCAAGCACCTGTGTCTCTATGAACGTCATTCCCCCTTTCCTTCCCCCCCTCAGCAAGTGGCGCCGTTTGGATCTAGCGCGTCAGAGAGCACGGAGGAGGAGAGGAGCCTGTCAGGCACCACGATGGGCCTGCCCCTCCCTGCCTCTCCCACCACCTCCACCGTCTCCTCTACCGTCTCCTCGGTGTCAACGCCTGTGCACTCCCGTGCTCCTTGTTTCCAAGGTGGGTGCCTAAGTGTGGGTTTGTACCTTTGCTTACCTCTCCCCGCCTCGCCCACCACCTCTCCCATCTCCTCCACCGTGTCTTCTGTGTCCACGCCTGTGCACTCTGCTGCTACCGCCCGTGCTCCGTGCCTCCAAGGTGGGTCGATTTTTGAGTCGACTCAAAAATCTGCTGCTACCGCCCGTGCTCCGTGCGTCCAAGGTGGGTCGATTTTTGAGTCGACTCAAAAATCTGCTGCTACCGCCCGTGCTCCGTGCGTCCAAGGTGGGTGTGTAGGCGTGGGCTTATTTCCCTTGCCCACCTCACCCACCACCTCCATTGTCTCCTCATGTCAAACCCCAGCATTATACTGTTAATGCTCATGCACCATTTTATCAAGGCGGGTCCCGTCCCTTCCCCTTCACCCCACCAGCACCACCAGCACCACAACTAGCACCACCAGCAGCACCAAAACCACCAGTCCCCCAGAGCAGTTTCCATACACCGCACTTGGCAGATCTCCCCCTGTCAAGGGCGAGAGCATAGATCACCTAACCCTCCTGTGTCTCCCTTCGCCCCTTCCGCCTTTCTTCTTCCCCCCCTCCACCAGGTACCCCCGCCAATCGCTCCCCCCACCACCACTCCTCCCCATCACCCCACCAGCATCACCACAACCAGCACCACCCCCATCAGCATCAGAACCACCACCACCCCCATCAGCAGCAGAACCACCAGTCCCCCACAGCAGCATCTATACACCGCACTCGACAGGTGTCCCCCATCAAGGGCGAGAACTCAGCAGGTCCGAGCCACAAGGCAAGCGCTGAGTCGACTCAAAAGTCAACTCAAAAGGCAGGTCCGGACCACAAGGCAGGCTTGGGGAGCTCTGGAGGGGGCAGGTTCGGGTTTCGTGGGGGTGCGGGCGGGGTGGGGGCAGGAGGGGGAGGTGCGGGAGGGGAGAGTGCGGGGGTGGGGAGTGGAGGGGGGAGAGGGCGGAGAGTGTCCGTGGGAGGAGTGGGGGAGCAGTGGGGTAGGGGTGCTGGGTCCGTGAGTGGTAGGGAGGTCAGGATCGGAGCGGCAGGAGGAGGAGGAGGAATGGGAAGGGGAGGGGGAGTGGGAGGAGGAGGGGCAGGAGGGGCGGCTGGGGGGGGAGGCGCGGGAGGGGCAGCAGGGGGTAGTTTCAAAGAAGTGGGGGCAAGGGGAGGGCGGAGAGCATCTGTATCGGGCGATTATGCAATCTCCAAGGGGGAAGATTCCTCTTCCTCTGCCAGGAGAGGGGAGGGGGCCTTTGGCAAGGGCACCAGAGAGGAGGCGCAGGGAGTCCGTTCGCAAAACCCTTTTGAGACGTCTCATAAGATTCCTAGAGAAAACCCCTCTGGGTCTCATAAGATTCAAGCGTTTCTGGACGCTGGAGGGGTGGTTGTTGATACGACTGCACGCCCTGCACGGCATCGGGTGGGGGAGGATGATGGTGATGGGAGGTTGAATGGGTCAGACGTGGGTGGTGGCCACCAGTCCCGTAAGATTCAGGAGTTTCTGGAGGCTGGAGGGGTGACTGGGGCTGTGATTGCACACTCTGCACGGTATGGGGTGGGGGATGATGGTGATGGGAGGTTGAATGGGAGGTTGAATGGGTCAGACGTGGGTGGTGGTCACCAGTCCCATAAAATTCAGGAGTTTCTAGATGCTGGAGGGGTGACTGCTGCTTCTGCTGCTGCTGGTGGTGGTGCTGCTGCTGCTACTGGTGCTGCTGCTGCTGCTGCTGTTGCTACAGACAGAAGTAACAAGGGCAATCACGCATGCGCAGGGGCAGACTCCTCTGCCTCGACTGCTCCAGGAGTAGATACATCAGCCAAAGCAGCAGCTGGGGTGGATTCAGATGCCACTGTCACACCCACTGCTGCAGCCTCTGTGCCTACTCAGGTTCAACCAGCTGGTGTGTCTCGTGGTACTACACAAGCAGGCGCATCTGCTTCAAGCACAGGCACAGGTGTACCTGCTTCAGGCGCACCCCCAGGCGTATCTGGTGCAGGTGGTATTCTGGGAGGGATGTCTGGCTTCGGGGTGACGTTTGACTGGAGCAGAGCGGTGGCGACTGCAGGAGGGGGCGCGGGCAGCAGGGCGGCAACAGTGGTAGAGGCGATGAATAAAGTGTCTGACTGGATCGGGTCGTTCTCTGGCCTGGAGGATAGCTTGGGAGGGGGAGGAGGGGGCAGGAGGGCGGTGGGGTATGGCGGAGAGAGAGGGGAGGCGGGAGGGGAGGGGAATGGGGTTGGGAATGAGGAGGGGAGAGGAGAGGAGCGGAGGGGGGGGAGTGAGGGGAGTGGGGAGGGGAGAGGAGCAGGGGTGCAGAGAGTTGGGTCTGGGCAGATTAGCGGGTGGAGTGAGGACGAGGAGGGAGAGGGTGAGGGTAACGGTGGGGAGAGGAAGAGCGATGGTGCTGCTGCGAGTGATGGTGGTGTTGCTAGTGGTGGGGCGGCTGTTAGGAGTGCGACTGTGGGGGGTAAAGCATCGGTGCCAAGTCTTCGAGCCCCGTATGCTTTGGATGGAGAGGGGGAAAGGAAGGAGGAAAAGAAACGAGAGGAGGGTGGAGAGAAAGCAGATATGCACAGGTCTGGGCAGGGGGAGGAGGAGCATTCAACAACCCTAGAATGGAGTCGGAGTGAGGATGACAAGTACAAGATCCGGCCGTCTATTCTGCACCCGCCTTACGCTGTAGAGGTGGAGGAAGGAGGGGTGGAGGGCACTGCTGGTGGGGATCGGAGAGGTGGCAGTGACAGTATGAGAAGGCATGGGTCTGCCGGGGAGAGGGTGCGGGAGTGTGAGGATAGGGGCATTGGCTTGGTGGCGTCTGCATCTGCTTCTGCGTCGTTACCGGCAGGAGGAGTTGTAAGAGAGGATGCTTGTAGAGAGTATGGCGGTGCACGTGGCGGTGCATGTGAGTCAGCAGTGCTGGCTTCTTCGTCCTTGGCATATTCTCCCTCCGCCTCCTCTCCTATTTCCTCCTCCGCGTTGTCTTGTAGGGCAGAGGTAGGGGCAGACAGACGCGTGGGAGCAGGGGAAGGAGTGGGAGGAGAGAGAGTGGGAGGGGATGCAGGAGGGGGAGGAGGGGCGGGGGATTTGATACCAGCTGGAACTGGGGTAGGGAGCAGGAGATTGGGTAGAGGCGTTGGCTTGTCTCCCCTGTCCCCACGCTCTCAGGCTCCACAAGTGCAGTCAGCACAGGTGCAAGTGCCAGCAGTGCAAGTGCCAGCAGTGCAAGCGGTGCAAGGCAGAGCATCAATAGGAGCAGCGGCGTCAGTGGCAGGAGCAGCACAACACCGGACAGCTGGTGCTCGACATTCAGCGGCAGCAGGAGGAGCAGGGAGCGTTCTGCAGTGGTCGATGAAAGTGAATGTGGACGAATTCGCACAGGTGAGTGGACGGAGAGAGGATGGGGAGAGGGAAGGAGGAGTGGGGAGAGGAGAGGAGTGAGAGAGTTAAGGGATCACATGGTTGATGCACTAACAGAGTGGTCTGCAGTGGTCCATATAAGTGAATGTGGACGAATTCGCACAGGTGAGTGGACGGAGAGAGGACAGGGAGAGAGAAGGACGGTTTGAGAGAAGGTGGGGAGGGGAGAGGAGTAGGAGGGGGTAGACGCACATGCAGCACATGCAGCAGGGACCAACGCAGCGCAATTATTCTTGCCGTCTCCCACCCAACCCCTCCTCCCTCCTCCCTTTTCCTTCCCCCCAGCTCTCTTTACCATTGAAGCAGCAGGGGCAGGAAGATGAGGAAGAGGATGGCGAGATGGAGGTGATGGAGTGTGAACGGGCAGCACACGGCCATGACCAGCGTATTCAACCTTTACTTCCCGCGCCTCGGCCCGCCCTCCATTTCCCATCCATTTCCCATCCATTTCCCATCCATGTCCCATCCATTTCTCCAGCCATCTTTACCATCCCAGCAGCAGAAACGGCAAGAGGAGGAGGGGGGAGACGAAGAGGATGACGAGATGGTGGTGATGGAGAATGTGAATGGGCGGCACACAGCCATGCAGCAACGACTAACCCACTCCCTGCCCCATTCCCCAGCCCTCCTTACCATCCAAGCAACAGAAACGCCAAGAGGAGGGGGGAGACGATGAAGACGATGAGATGGTGGTGATGGAGAGTGTGAACGGGCAGCACACAGCCATGCAGCACATGCTGCCGGGATTAACCCACCTTTTATGCACTTGCCCTTCCCCCTACTCCTATTCCCACCACACACACAGCCCTCACTACCATTGAAGCAGCAGAAACGCCAAGAGGAGGAGGAGGGGGAGGAGGACGATGAGATGGTGGTGATGGAGAGTGTGAACGGGCGGCACACTGCCATGCAGCACATGCTGCAGGGGCGGCTGTCTGCAGTGCGCCACGTGGCAGCGCTGTGGGTGGATGGAGAACTGCTGCCTGCCCTCTCCGCCCTGGCAGCCTCGAAAGACCTTGCAGTGAGTGAGGCGCATTCAGGAGCATTTGCTGCATGAGAGCACGAGAGCATGTGGAGTATATGCGGCAGCATGGTTTGCTCTCAAGGATATAACGCCTATCGCCTTACTTTCCCGTTGTCATTCTTTGTTGCTTCCGATCTCCCTTTCTCATCCCCCCGTGTGCATCAGGTGGTGGCAGACGTGTTGGAGGTGCTGGTCATGCAGGGAGGCAGGCGGCTGGTATCGGTGGGCATGGAAGGGGCCTTGCAGCTGCTGAGAGCTGCCTTGTGTCTCTCCTTATGTGTTATTTCCCTCCTTATCCCTCACGTCTCAGGTGGTGGCAGACGTGTTGGAGGTGCTGGTTATGCAGGGAGGCAGGCGGCTGGTATCAGTGGGCATGGAAGGGGCCTTGCAGCTGCTGAGAGCTGCCTTGTGTCTCTCCTTATGTGTTATTTCCCTCCTTATCCCTCACGTCTCAGGTGGTGGCAGACGTGTTGGAGGTGCTGGCCATGCAGGGAGGCAGGCGGCTGGTATCGGTGGGCATGGAGGGAGCATTGCAGCTGCAGCCGCTGCTGAGGGCTCTGCTCGCCAGCAGCCACTCCAAGTGAGCGTTCCTGTGTGGTGCTGTGCGGTGCTGAGTGATGCTGTGTGTTCTGGAGCGTTTCTGAGTGTTTCTGTGTGGTGCTGAGCAGTGCTGTCAAGAGTCTGAAAAATGTGTTGTCGTGCTTTGCTAGGCCTCTGCCACCGTCTGTTGTGTTGTGAATCACTGTCCACACTGCAAGCGTGCGGCAACTTTTGACTCAATTTGTCTTTCTTGCGCCCTCTGCAAAATCAAGCACACCCTTTTTCCCTTTCCCCTCCCACCAAATGCACATGACGTGGCACCGTCACTGCTTCACGAGCTACTGAGTGTCAAATCCACGCTTCTATCTCCCACCCTTCCTCCCGCCCCTCCCACACTCCCTCCCTCCCACCCCCAGGTACGTGGGAGTGGCGCTGTCGCTGCTGCGCGAGCTCCTGAGGGCGTTCAGCGAGCCCATCACTGCTGCTCGCACCGCCACGCATTCTCCTGGCGTAGACCTGCACATGGAGGAGAGGTGAGAACAAGGGAAGGAGGGGAGAGCACGGGAGGTTGAATGAGGCAATGAAGCTGACGCTCAAGGCAGATGGGCGTGTGAGTGAGCTGCTGAGGGCGTTCAGTGAGCCCATCAGTGCTGTCGCACTGCCACACATCTCCATGGGGCTGACCTGCACATGGAGGAGAGGTGAGAATCAAGGTGGGAGGGGGAGGGGGGGGGGGTAAGCGGAGCGAAGTGAGAAGACGGGATGAGGGGGTTCAGTGGAGGGTTGTGAGAGTCACTGTTGTTCATCTTCTGCGATCATCGTCGGTACAAATCCCTGTGTATTCTGGTCTTCACAGTTACGGTATATCTTACGGCATGTGATGGCATGTTGCATCATGGCATGTGAATCACGGCAGGTTGCAGCGTTGCAATGATTGCTACGAGGGCTTCAGAGTGCTCGAAGACCAGCTCCACCCCATCCTCAGGTATAGCCCCCTCCTCCCCCCCTTCATCTCCCCAGCTCCTCAGCTCCCCTTGTCCCCTCCCCTCATTAGCAATGATTGCTACGAGGGCTTCAGGGTGCTCGAAGACCAGCTCCACCCCATCCTCAGGTATAGCCCCCTCCTCCCCCCCTTCATCTCCCCAGCTCCTCAGCTCCCCTTGTCCCCTCCCCTCATTAGCAATGATTGCTACGAGGGCTTCAGGGTGCTCGAAGACCAGCTTCACCCCATTCTCAGGTGCACTCCCCTCCTCTCATCTCAGTCTCCCCTCAGCTCAGGTGCACCATCCTCTTCCCCTAGTCTCCCTTCCCCTACCCTCGTTATGCAATGATTGCTACGAGGGTTTCAGGGTGCTCGAAGACCAGCTCCACCCCATCCTCAGGTTAGCCTCCTCCCCTCCTCTCCTTCATGTCCTCCTCTTCCCCTCTGACTACCGTATGCAAAGCTTCGTGTAGGACAAGCAAACTCGGGCTGTGCGCACACGCTTGGAAAACGATGAAGGTTGTATCCTTGCTACTTTTTCTTCTTAAATGAACCAGCAGAGATGAAGGATCCTTGTTGCACTACCATGAAGCTGCTTGCGCATCGTGGTATTCTGCAGCAGCTGTGGTCTTCTCATCTCCCAACTTACCCTCCTCTCCTCCCTTCCACCATTGCAGGAGAAGGACCAACGAGAACTATGCCCTTGCTTCAGATGTTCACATGCTGTTACAGAAGATGCAATGACTGTCTTTACGCCCAATCGAACTAGCCATAATAACACGATATTATAGGTGTAAAGTTTGTAGTCCAACAATACGGTGGAGGAAAACAAAGGTATTGCCGGAGGCCTTACAATGTACGAATGTGCGAAATTTGTAGGTCAGGATGGGTTGATCGCTGTTGATATTGCTTCAATCATTTGTGTAGCGTATTCCATAAAAGTATACTATGAATTTATCGACTTCGAGGTTTCTGGCTAATACCGAAGATGTTCGTTCGAAGGCGACAACTGAAGAATTGGCGGCATGGGCTGAGCAAAGAGCGGGAGTTGCAAGAACGAACTCTTAGAAGCTCAGGATAACAACCTAATGCGGGTCTAATCGAGGCATAATACGCAAACTTTGGGTATTGTAGGCGCTATGCGCGGACTGGCATTCGGATAGTTGTTTGGACGACTCGCAAGATCCAGCTTCGCTATCCGCGTGCGACGCTATCCGCGCGCGTGCCACACTATCTGCGCGCGTCGCTCTTTGCGTGCGTCGCTATCTGCGCGCGTCGTTATCTGCGCGCGTCGCTATCTGCGCGCGTCGCTACTTTGCGCGCGTCGCTATCTGCGTGCGATGCTATCCGCGCGCGTCCGAACACATTACTAGCGACGCTGCTTCGTGTGCGACGCTACCCATATGCGACGCCACCGCTGGATTGCGCTGCCTGATTCCTAAAGTCCATCCGCACCGTTGGATGATGCTGCCTGATTCCAAGGATTGATCCGCGCCGTTGGATGGGTCGGGCGTTTACGAACAGTCGTGGCGCTAAGCGGACAGAACCAGCTGGGAGGGAAAGGGGAGGGGAATACGCGTTAGAGGAGATTCGCTATGCTGCATTCACGGCTGATGGCAGGTAGAGCATGCAAAGGCACGACCCTACGATCTCTGCAGTCATCGTCACTCACACAACCCCTTAAATCACCTTCCGTCCAAGCTACTAGAAGTCCTATCCTACCTCCCAACTTCGCACTCCCTTTCTGCTCCCTAGTAGTAACCTCAACTCGCTTTCGTTGCTCCGCTTTTCTTCTTTGCCCCTCTCCACCCTCCCCATATCCGTCCACCACCCTTTTGCCGTGATCTTCCTTGGGTGCAGCTACGTGGCAGTGGCCACGTCAGCAGGTTTCAAGATATTCCGCTGTGCTGACGTGGCGCAGCCCGTGGTGAGCCACCTGGGCGTGGGCCCGATAAAGATCGCGGAGCTCACTCTCATCGCGCCACGTGGCGCACCACCATTAATCGCATTCGTTGGCACTGGAGACACGGTAGCTCCCCTTCTCCTCCCCGCTCTTCTCTCGTCTCCCCTCTCCCGCCCCTCTTTTGAGGCGCCTCAAAAGTCCTCGAGCTCCTCACCCACACCCTTTCTCTACCAATCTCTGAAGGACCTTAGGGACGCTGAAATCTCCTGGCTGAAGTTTCCTGGCTGAAGTTTCCTGGCTGAAGTTTCCTGGCTGAATTTTCCTGGCTGAAGTTCCCTTGCTAGTAACCTGTATGGCTGCTACTGCGACCAAGTTGTCGTATCTCCTTTGCTAGTTCCAATTCTTAAATCCATGACCCTAGACCTATAGTAGCCGCACTTAACGGCTACGAGGTTTACAAGCTGTTTTGAGACGTCTCAAAACAACTCTGTTTACACGGCTAAGAGGTTTACAAGCTGTTTTGAGACGTCCCAAAACAACGCTGTTTACACGGCTACGAGGTTTACAAGCTGTGATACTCGCATGGCTGTGCCTCATCCCTCCATCCCTCCACCCTACCCTGCCATTCCCCCACGATTCGCCATCTCTCATCTCTCCATCCCCATCCCCGTTACCTGTCTTCAAACCACCTTCCCAACCCCTCCCTCCTCTCACTCTCATTTCAGTCATCCCCATAATCGTCAACCTCCCATTTTCCATCTCCCATCCCCCCTCCCCCTCCAGCCGCACCTGTCGCCTCGAGAGCTGCATCTAGCTTCCGTCGCCCATCCAGCTTTCCCACCTCCTCCATCCACCTCCCCTACTTCTTTATCTCCCTCCTCTCCCACCCTTCTCGGCACCCTCTCCTTCCTCACCATCATCACTGCAGTCCGTCTCAACCACTCTAGGTGAGCTTCGAGCTTTGAGCTTTGAGATTTGAGTTCTGTGGTGCGTATAAAAGAAGCTCACTCCACTCGGCACCCTCTCCTTCCTCACCATCATCACCGCAGTCCGTCTCAACCACTCCAGGTGAGCTTTGAGGGAACGGTTGAGATGAGTCATCTTTTCTCCTCATTTCCCTCTGTCCCCACTGCCTTGCCCTCCTCCCTCACCCCCCTCGGCACCCTCTCCTTCCTCACCATCATCACTGCAGTCCGTCTCAACCACTCTAGGTGAGCTTCGAGCTTTGAGCTTTGAGATTTGAGTTCTGTGGTGCGTATAAAAGAAGCTCACTCCACTCGGCACCCTCTCCTTCCTCACCATCATCACCGCAGTCCGTCTCAACCACTCCAGGTGAGCTTTGAGGGAACGGTTGAGATGAGTCATCTTTTCTCCTCATTTCCCTCTGTCCCCACTGCCTTGCCCTCCTCCCTCACCCCCCTCGGCACCCTCTCCTTCCTCACCATCATCACTGCAGTCCGTCTCAACCACTCTAGGTGAGCTTCGAGCTTTGAGCTTTGAGATTTGAGTTCTGTGGTGCGTATAAAAGAAGCTCACTCCACTCGGCACCCTCTCCTTCCTCACCATCATCACCGCAGTCCGTCTCAACCACTCCAGGTGAGCTTTGAGGGAACGGTTGAGATGAGTCATCTTTTCTCCTCATTTCCCTCTGTCCCCACTGCCTTGCCCTCCTCCCTCACCCCCCTCGGCACCCTCTCCTTCCTCACCATCATCACTGCAGTCCGTCTCAACCACTCTAGGTGAGCTTCGAGCTTTGAGCTTTGAGATTTGAGTTCTGTGGTGCGTATAAAAGAAGCTCACTCCACTCGGCACCCTCTCCTTCCTCACCATCATCACCGCCGTGCGTCTCAACCACTCTAGGTGAGCTTTGAGGTGCCTTCAAAAGCATCTCACCCCCATCGGCACTCTTTCCTTCCTCACATGGCGCCTACTGTGTGTTGTTCTCATGTTGTGCGCGCCTGTACTACTGGCTACTAGTTTTCCTCGAATCCAGGCTATCACTGCATGACTGCGCTTCTCTCTCTCATCTCTGCTACTGTGTTTTGTCTCATGTTGTGCGCGCCTGTACTACAGGCTTTTAGTTTTCCTCGAATCCAGGCTATCACTGCATGACTGCGCTTCTCTCTCTCATCTCTGCTACTGTGTTTTGTCTCATGTTGTGCGCGCCTGTACTACAGGCTTTTAGTTTTCCTCGAATCCAGGCTATCACTGCATGACTGTGCTTCTCTCTCTCTCGTCTCTGCTATTGTGTGTTGCTCTCATGTTGTGCGCGCCTGTACTACAGGCTACTAGTCCTCCTCGAATCCAGGCTATCACTGCATGACTTTGCTTCTCTCTCTCTCATCTCTGCTACTGTGTGTTCCTCTCATGTTGTGCTTGCCTGTGTCTCAGGCTACTAGTCCTCCTCGATTCAAGGATATCAGTGCATGACTGACTGTGCTTCTCCCCTCCCGCTTCTCGTTTGCCACCCGCTCTTGCATTGTGTGTGCGTGCATTGCAGGCTACTAGTCCTCCTCGAATCCAGGCTATCACTGCATGACGTCACTCCCCATGGTGTTGCTGCCGGCTTCCCTCCTCTCTCTGCTGTGTGCTGCTGTGTGCTGCTGTGTGCTGCTGTGTGCTGCTGTGTGCTGCTGTGTGCTGCTGTGTGCTGCTGTGTGCTGCTGTGTGCTGCTGTGTGCTGCTGTGTGCTGCTGTGTGCTGCTGTGTGCTGCTGTGTGCTGCTGTGTGCTGCTGTGTGCTGCTGTGTGCTGCTGTGTGCTGCTGTGTGCTGCTGTGTGCTGCTGTGTGCTGCTGTGTGCTGCTGTGTGCTGCTGTGTGCTGCTGTGTGCTGCTGTGTGCTGCTGTGTGCTGCTGTGTGCTGCTGTGTGCTGCTGTGTTCTCTGTGTCTCAAACCAAACAGGCTGTTAGTCCTCCTCGAATCCAGGCTATCACTGCATGACGTCACTCCCCAGGGAGTTGCAACCGGCTTCCCTCTGCTGCTCTCCCTCACTGTCGCTCCAAACCCCAACGGTGATGCTTCTAGTCGCATAAAAGCCAAACTGTTCGACTCAAACGATCTCCCCCCTGCAGCTCTCCCCTTTCAGTCGCCTTCCAGGAATCTGATCCCTCTTTTCCCAAAATTTTTTCCCCCTTGCCTTTCTCCCCCTGCCATTGTTCTCCTCTCTCTCCCCTCACCTCATTCCCTCGTTTCCCTCCCCTGTCTCTCCCAGGCATTGTGCCCTGAGCCCGCTCTCTCCTCGCCCTCTCTCCCCCTCGTCCTGCTTCTGCGCCGTCCCTGCTGCTGCTGCTGCTGCTGCTGCTGCTGCTGCTGCTGCTGCTGCTGCTGCTGCTGCTGCTGCTGCTGCTGCTGCTGCTGCTGCTGCTTCTCTTGACATTCAACCCATTGCCAGTTTTCTCCCTCTCCCCTCTCCCCATTCCCTCCTTGCCCTCCCCTGTCTCTCCCAGGCATTGTGCCCTGAGCCCGCTCTCTCCCCGCCCCCTCTCCCCTTCCCTTTTGTATGTGCCGTGTTCGCATGTGCCATGTTCCCATAAGCCATGTTCCCCTGTGCTGTTCCCCCTCCCATCCTCCCTGCCTGTGTCCCCTCCCAGGCATCTGTGCCCTGAGCCCGCTCTCTCCTCGCCCCCTATCCCCTTCCTATTTGCATGTGCCATGTTCCCATGAGCCATGTTCCCCTGTGCTGTCCCCCCTCCCATCCCCCGCCCCTCCCCTGACCCTCCCAGGCATCTGTGCCCTGAGCCCGCTCTCTCCTCGCCCCCTCACCCCCTGCTTCTGTGCCGTCCCTGCTGCTGCTCCTCGCCCCTCCCTCCTCTCCCTCTCCCCGCGAGCCACCTCGTCCTCCTCGTCGCCCTCATCGGATCAAGGCACTCTTCTCATTGTCGACCTCGTTTCTCTCCAGGCTTCTGGCCAGGTGAGCCTGTTGCTTCTGCCCGTTCTCGCCCCTCTCTCTTTTCAATGCCCCGTTCTTGCCTCCTCCTCCCCTTCCTCCTCATCGGCTCAACGCACGCTGCTGCCAGTCGATCTCATCTCTCCACACGCCTTTGGACAGGTGAGTCTGTTGCTTCTGCCCGTGCTCGCCCCTCTCTCCTTTCAATGCCTCTATCCCCCTCCGTTCTTGCCTCCCCCTCTGCTTCCACCTCCTCGGCTCAAGGCACGCTGCTGCCAGTCGATCTCATCTCTCCACACGCCTTTGGACAGGTGAGTCTGTTGCTTCTGCCCGTGCTCGCCCCTCTCTCCTTTCAATGCCTCTATCCCCCTCCGTTCTTGCCTCCCCCTCCGCTTCCACCTCCTCGGCTCAAGGCACGCTGCTGCCAGTCGATCTCATCTCTCCACACGCCTTTGGACAGGGGAGTCTGTTGCTTCTGCCCGTGCTCGCCCCTCTCTCCTTTCAATGCCTCTATCCCCCTCCGTTCTTGCCTCCCCCTCCGCTTCCACCTCCTCGGCTCAAGGCACGCTGCTGCCAGTCGATCTCATCTCTCCACACGCCTTTGGACAGGTGAGTCTGTTGCTTCTGCCCGTGCTCGCCCCTCTCTCCTTTCAATGCCTCTATCCCCCTCCGTTCTTGCCTCCCCCTCCGCTTCCACCTCCTCGGCTCAAGGCACGCTGCTGCCACTCGATCTCATCTCTCCACACGCCTTTGGACAGGTGAGTCTGTTGCTTCTGCCCGTGCTCGCCCCTCTCTCCTTTCAATGCCTCTATCCCCCTCCGTTCTTGCCTCCCCCTCCGCTTCCACCTCCTCGGCTCAACGCACGCTGCTGCCAGTCGATCTCATCTCTCCACACGCCTTTGGTCAGGTGAGCCTGTTGAGGTGCATCAAAAGCCGCCTCCTCCTCCTCCTCATCAGCTCAAGGCACGCTGTTGCCAGTCGATCTCATCTCTCTCCAGGCCTTCGGGCAGGTGAGTCTGCTTCTGCTCCTCCTCGCCCCTCTCTCCTCTTCCTGCCTCTGTCCCTCGCCTCCCTTGCCTCCTCCGCTGCCTCCCCCTCCAGGTGAGTCTGCTTCTGCTCCTCCTCGCCCCTCTCTCTTCTTCCCGCATCTCTCCCTCACCTTGCGCTTTGATTCGAACTTTTCCTCTTTTCTGCTCCTCGTTCACTCACTTTCCCTTTCCCCCACTTTCTCTTTCCCCCTTCCCCCTCTCCTAGATCAACTCATGACGGGTCGATCGATCGCAGCCACTCAAATCGCTCCCTTCTGCCCGCCCCGTCCCGCTTCCTTTTCTTTCTTCCCCAGATCAAGGCTCACGACGGGCCGATCGCAGCTGTTGAAATCACCTCGCTGCTCCCAACCCTTCCATCTCCTCTGCGGCAAAATGAGCCGAATTTTCAAGGGGACGGGGAGGGGGGAGGAGGGGAGGACGGGGAGGGGGAAGAAGGGGGAGAGTGGGGGAATGAGAAGGGAGGAGGAGGGGGGAGGGAACTGCTGGCGTCAGCATCTGCCAAGGGCACTGTGATTCGAGTGCACTGCATCCGGACAGGCAACAAGGTGGGGGCACGTGCATTCATTGAATCTGGTCCATAGTACGAGAAATGACAAAGACACGGTTATTCGGGTGCACTGCATCCGGACAGGCAACAAGGCGGGGGAAGAGAAGACAGGACTGTGGTTTCTGTGATCAATGAACCTGGACCATTGATGAAGGCACCGTCATTCGGGTGCACTGCATCCGGACAGGCAACAAGGTGGGCTGCGAGCAATCAAGACAAGGTGGGCAACACAATGGGTCTTCCTTCCCTGCATTCATTGAATATGGACCATGTTAGAAGCATTATCTACCTTAGACACATGGAAGTGAGAGGATGGGCCTTCCTTTCTTGCATTCTTGGATTCCTTGTTAAACAGTGTTAACAATTCTAACATTCTGCTCAAATTTCTCAAGCCACCCCACAATCATTCTCCCTTCATCCTACCGCCAATGCCACCCCTTCCTATCACTGCCTACCCCTTCCCACCCCTTCCCACCCCTTCCAACCCCTTCCAACCCCTTCCAACCCCTTCCCACCCCTGTCGCCAGCTCTTCTCTTTCAGAAGAGGCGCCCACCCTGCTTCTATCTTCTCCATCTCCTTCTCCCCGCCAGGCTCTCTCCCTCGTTCTCTTGCTCTCACCAGCAGCACCGGCACTGCCCATATATTTCATCTCCCTCTCCCCTCCTCTTCCGCCTCCTCACACTCCTCCTCTCACTCCTCCCCTCACTCCTCTCATTCTTCTCACTCCAACTTCAGTTCCTCCTCTTCCTCCTCCTCGTTCTCTGCGTCTGATCTTTTCAAGAGCTCTGGTGGTAGAAGGCACAGCGATGTGACTGTGCACCATGTGACTGTAGCAGGGGAAGAGAGGTGAGTGGTGGGAGAAAAGCAGGAGGCACAGCGATGTGACTGTGCACCGTGTGACTGTAGCAGGGGAGGAGGTGACTGGTAGGAGGGGCAGCAAGAGGCACAGCGCTGTGACTGTGCCCTATGTAACTGCAGCGCGGGAAGAGAGGTGAGCGGCAGGAAGGAAATCAAGCTGAAATACTTAAGCATGATCAAACCATAAGGGTGGGGAAGAAGTTAACTTATGTCAACATTCTAATCGGCACCAAGTTTGATGACGCTTTTGAACGCCATTCGGAAATCACTTTTGAGAATTCTCTTCAGTGTCAACATTCTATTTGGCACCAAGCTGTTTATGCTTTCAAATGCTCCACGATCGCCCCATCTGCAGAGAGGTTCACGTCAGAGTGCTATTGCTGTAAGCCTTGTGAGAATTCTCAAAAGCTCACGCTTTGCCCTCAGAGTCCCAGAGTCACTTTTGAGAATTCTCAAGAGAGGTTCACATCAGAGTGCTATTGGTGTAAGCATTGGGGAGTAAAGCTTCGCAGTAGCATGGAAGGAACGCTGACAGCTCTGTTACCCTGAGACCTAACCTCCTGTTTTCTGAACTGGATGGTTATGATGCCCTCTCACCCGCCTGTGCATGTTTGAGTCGACTCAATAATCAACTATATGGATGCGATATCCTCTCACCTGATTGTAACGCCTGTGCATTTACCCATGCATGCACTCTCCCCTTTTGTGTGCAGCATCTGTGCCATGGCCGTCCGCTCGACTGTTCCACAGCAGGAGCAGCAGTTTTCGCTGCAACAGCAGCAACAAGAGCACCAGCCGCAACAGCAGCAGCAGCAACAGCAGCACCAGCAGCAGCAGCAGCAACAGCAGCAGCAGCAGCAGCAGCATAGGGGGTGAGTTCCACCCACTAGCACTACACCACACAGGTGAGTTTTGAAAATTCTCAAAACTCACTTGCAACCACACATGCACTGACTGTGTATTGGTAGGGCCACACACAAGCCAAAGTACGATGTGCCATTTGGTCCTGTACTCTTCCCCGCCCTGTTATACTGCTTTGTGCACACCAGTGGTAGTGGCAAGGTAGAGTTGCACACATTGTGCATCTCACTGCAATCAGCTGTCCATTGACCTGACTCTGCATCACCTTTCCACCTGATTTTCTTCATCCACCAACTTTCTTCCTCTTGACCACACCTCCTTCAACAGGACTTTCTTGTACTTATCCCTACGCCAACCACCCTGTCCCTCTCTTCCTTTCTGCCTTCTCCCCCCTCCCTCCAATGGCTTGGCCAGGCTATATCTGAGGGTTTTCACGTCCACTGGATCCTTCAACGAGTATTGCATCTCAGCCGACCAGCAGCACGCTACGTAGACCAAGGAGGTGCCTTTACCGTCTTTGCCTTCTCCCCCCTCCCTCCAATGGCTTGGCCAGCCTATATCTGAGGGTTTTCACGTCCACTGGATCCTTCAACCAGTATTCCATCTCAGCCGGCCAGCAGCATGCTACTTAGACCAGGAAAATACTTCACCAGAAATAACAAGGACGGGATTTTTTGAACCTGTCTCTGGACGTCCTGTCCTCACTTCCATTTGTTACTGGATGTTGCTACCAGCAAGAAAGGGATCTTAAGTACTACCCTTGTATAATAATAAGGGTACATTCCGGCCTTGACATGTCCATTAAGTAAGTGCCACAAAGGCAATGTACCACTCTGCACCGCATTACACATAAATAGCTAACGTTTCCACTGCACTTTCTAGTCTTTTGAGACACGAGGCTTTTGTGACACGCTTCCCGAATGTACTGGACGAAAGAAAGAAGATTAGTTTACCGGACTGACGACCAATTCGAGGTGTAACTAGACCTGTAAACTTGCACGCTTGCCAGGTTCATGCATTGAGAACCTTTTTCCTCACTCATTACCCTAAACGCAAGCAAACAGCTGCAAATAGCTGCACGAACTTAGTCTGGTCATCTAGAGTGAACTTGTTCTGGTTGCTTTATGCTTCTGCCTCAAGAAGAAATGAGTAGTTCCCAGAAGCAGAAGAATGACCACAGCAGCAACAGCAATGCCAACTCCTCCACTGGCACTTGATTTCCACCTCCAGATGCTGCTGGTGAAGTAGCCACGCTGTTGCTGCTGCCGGTGGTGCTGTTGCTGCTGCCATTGGTGCTGTTGCTGCTGCCACTGGTGCTGTTGCTGCTGCCATTGGTGCTGTTGCTGCTGCCACTGGTGCTGTTGCTGCTGCCACTGGTGCTGTTGCTGCTGCCACTGGTGCTGTTGCTGCTGCCGTTGGTGCTGTTGCTGCTGCCGTTGGTGCTGTTGCTGCTGCCGTCGGTGCTGTTGCTACTGCCTTTGCTGCTGCTGTTGCTGCTGCTGTTCGTCTTGATTGGGCCTGCACAAGCAGAGAACCATTCTGTGGTGATCATAGCAAGCTGTTTACCACAGTGAAGACGGGCAGTGAAGACAGTGAAGACGGGTAGTATTCAAATCGGAAGCACAGAGCAGCCAAGCAACACGAGAGCCCATACCATGGTTCGGCGCAACCTTTGGTTCTCCAAAGACACAGCTTTGCCTTTTGTCGTGCTTCACATGCGTTATGTAATTCTATCATCAACACAGTACTACTCTGGTGAGAATCTGCTGTAATCACTCGCCTGCAGGTTTGCCGCAAGTCATGCAAAATGATCTACACGTCAAGCAAAAACCCGAGATCGGATCGTGTCTTGTTTCACAGTCGGTGTTGTCAGGTGGGCACGTGAGGTTTGTTCCAGTGACATTGCTGCGATGGAAAGGGGGGAGATCAAAATGCGAAGTCATGGGCACAGCCGCACCGACCTTGACATTACAACTACAAATGGGAACAGTGGTGGGGCTAAGTGGGAGATAACGAGAGAGAAAAGCGACAAACAGGTGACGGGAAAGGATTTCTCAGTGGAGAAGGGAAAAGAAGAGAAGGAGCACGTTGGTAGACACACACAAGGGAGGCCGCAAGTGGGAACAGATGGATGTGAAGATGGTGCCAGCTTGCCCCTATAGGCAGACATGTCGCGAACCATGCCATAACATCCAAACGAATCCAGGTCACTCATTTACTGTTCATTCTCCTACAAGATTGCTCTATGCAAGCAAAGTTGGCCAGCCTACTTCACCAACCTAGTAAGAGATCCTTTGAGTCAAAGAGGTTTCCATTTCCATTCTACTGGTAGATGGAAGGAAAGAGATGAATACTGCTCAACAGACGTGCTGATATGTGAGTTGTCATTTGTAAGAACCAGAAAATGCAATGACATTAAAGCAACTTGTGGGCATGGCCAGAGGGACAGCAAGCACACACAAGCGATATTGATGAAACATAGCTGATAAGGTCGTGCAACTAGCCATATGGTTATTTCATTGCTTTCAACCTTGAAGCCAATCATGGTTGGGATATCCAGAGATTGTTGCCATAATACTTCCAGGCTCTGCAAGTTGAATAAAGCCCCTAAAGAGGACGGAATAAGCCCCATCTACATACCGAAAACACAATAAAGTACAACAGCCCGGGATGGAGGAGGAGATGAAGGGGAGGTTTCCAACTCCATTTTTATAAGCACGTACAAGCGACATAAATGAAACAGAGTTGATCAGACAGTTAATCATGATTGGGACATTCTGGTATTGTTGCCATGTCACTTACATGGTCGAAGAGGCCCCTAGAGAGGGCGGAATGGTTCCATTAAAGTGATTCTCAGCTACATCCCTGACAGACGATGAAGAACAACAGCCCGGGATGAAGAAGAAGGAGAATGAATAAGGAGGGAGGGTCATGCGTTTCAAATGCTGGCCGATTGCAGTCAGCAACACAACCATGCCATCGGGTGTTTTGGCCGGCAACACAACCTTCCCTTTGAACTCAAGTTGACGTCCCTAAGCAGCCCGCTCAAGGTCCTTACCACTCCCCTCATGATTAGAACGAGGCCTAAACAATTGCTTCGTATAGAGGCACTTGACAATAGACAAGGTGCTTCATACAGGTGTCCAAACTCAAGCGAGGAAATACTGTTGGGAATGGAGCCTGTCAAAGCGTTGTTCGAGAGATCCCTGTGTGCGTGGGTAGGTAGATGGATAGAAGTGAAGAGATGAGACATGTGGGCATGGCCAAAGGGGCAGCAAGCACACACAAACGATAATGATGAAACAGACCTGATTAGGTAGTGCACCTAGACATGAGCACAAACTCGTGCTGTCAATCCCAAAGTCAATCATGGCATGACAGGGATATACAGAGATTGTTGCCGTGATACTTTCAGGCTTTGCAAGTTGAGAAAGACCTCTAGAGAGGACGAAATGGTTCCAATCGATTTATTCCCCTCTACATCTCTGACAGACGATGAAGAACAACAACCCAGGATGAAGCAGGAGAATGAAATAAGCACACAGAAGCGATGTGAATGATACAGAGCTGATCCGACAGCTAATACAACAGGGATATCCTGAGATTGTTGCCATGATGCTTATAGGCTTCACAACCAGAATAAAGCCCCAGATACTTGACAAACGATGAAAAACAACAGCTCGAGAAGGAAGAGAAGGAGAATGAAGAGGGAGGGAGGTACATGGATTCCAATTGCAAGCCAATAATTGCAATGAAATTTATTTCAACCCCAGAAATCAACAGAACCAGAAATGGTCCTTTTGGTTAGAGAAACAAATGTGGCATGAGTTGTTGTGGCCAGCAACACAACTATGCCTTCTAACACGATTTGAAGTCCCTAAGAAGCCCGCTCAAGTTCCTTACCACTCCGCTCATGTTCAGCACGAGGCCGAAACAAGTTGATTCGTATTGAGGCGTAGGCATTACACAACATGCTTTGTACTGAAAATTGAGATTAACAAGTGAGGAGATGCTGTTGGGAATGGAGCCCGTCAAATTGTTGTACGAGAGATACCTGTGTGTGTGGGTAGTTGGGTCGGTAGAAGTGAAGAGATGATAAGACTTGTGGGCATGGTGAGAGGGACAGCAAGCACATACAAGTGATATTGATGAGACGGAGCTGATTAGGTTGTGCAACTAGCCATACGATTCTTCCTTTCCACTCAACTCCAAAGCCAATCACAGAATGGATATCTAGAGATTATTTCCATGATACTTTCAGGCTATGCAAACTGATTTAGGCCCCTAGAGCGGACGGGATGGTTCCATTCATAGTGATTCTCAAATACATCTCTGACAGACGATGAAGCACAACAACCAGGATGAAGGAGAAGGAGAATGAAGGGGGAGGAAGGGTCATGCGCTCCAAATGCTGGCCAGTCCTCCTAACAGACTTAACTTTTCCGTAGAAACAAACACAAGCAATAAATGAATCATTTACATACAGAAACAACTGTGGGGTGGGCGTTGTGGCCTGCAACACGACCATCCATTTGAACACAAGTTGAAGTCCCTATGCAGTCCCCTCAAGGTGCATATCACTCCTCTCACGCTTAGCACGTGGCCTAAACAAGTTGCTTTGTATTGAAGCATTGACACTGGACAAGGTTTCTTCGTACAAAATATAGAGAGCAGTAAGCGATGAGATGCTGTTGGGAATGGAGCCCGTCAAAGCATTTTTCGAGAGATCCCTATGTGTATGGGTAGGTAGGTCAATAAAAGTGAAGAGATGAGACATGTGGGCATGGCCAAAAGGACAGCAAGCACACACAAGCGACATTGATGAAACAAAGCTGACTAGGTAGTGCAACTAGCCATACGGTTCTTTCAATGTTGTCGATCCCAAATCCAATCATGGCTTGGAAATCCAAAAAGTGTTGCCATGATACTTTCAGGCACTGCAAGCTGACTAAGGCCCCTAGAGAGGGCGAAATGGTTCCATTCAAGTCCTTCTTATCTACATACCGAACAG